CGTTTGTCCGTCCCGAGAAGCGGCCATGTTGTTTCCATTCCCCCCCGTTGACTCATCGGTCCATCGATTTCCCTCAGTTCCACTCGATTCCTCTTTTTTAGGGCTTTCCCATGGCACTACGAACCCTTTTAGTGTAAATCTGCCACTTTTCCGGGGAGCGACCGGGACCAAAAGGCACGTTTTCGCGACAGGTGCACGTTGGCAATAGCGGATTTGAATTTGATCTAGTAAATTTTTATCAATAGACTGGATTTTTATTGGCTCATTGCCAGGACTGGCAAGCTTTAAAAATGCTTAACTTTTTTCCTAGGTGGGTTCCTTGGCATTATCGGAGGAAGGGGGCGCTTATAGCTCCGAATCGGCCTAAAACCTTTATTAGGAGTTTTAATAGCCTAAGGAAGATAATGGTACCCCCCCGATAATGGAAAAAGCGCATAGTCGATTTTGAGCCAAAATGCCAACAAATTCTTCACGCCAGTTTAATTTCACTTGCTTTTAGACCGTGTCCGGGTTTATGGCTATCCAAATTTTTGTGCTGTCGGTATTTTGGTCTCTCAGGATTTTCGTCGCGGAGATTATGATTTTCGGAATTTTTGTCGGCTTTTTTGTCGGCATTTTTGACAGTCGGCATTTATTCTTCCGGATTTGTCCTGTCGGCATTCTGGCGTTTCCCCCCCAACCAAATTACCCGCTAGATCTTTTGCCCGATATCTCGAGCTCCAGTAAAAACACAGCACCTGCCTTCAATCTGGCAACACTGGATGGCTTCCACTCTGCCGGGACCCATTTTATAGGATTTGTAAGGGAAGTTTGGCCCCCGGTTTTATAGGATATAAATCCAGGGCCGCTAGTATGCTAAGATCCCCGATCTGTTGTCGGTTAGTGGGAGACATGTGGGTTTTATGTTCATGGCCCTGATCTAAAAGAAATGCCGACAACTCGGGGCGAGGGCCCAGCCAATTCGTTCATCGCCCAATGGCACCGTATTCTGTGGGAAAGTTTTGGTTTGGGAGCGTTTTCTCTACAAACTGCTGTCTAAATGACGTCCTTTTCGTGTTTTTTTTTTGACAGGCTGGTGCTTTATCATTTTCGGGGGTGGGCCGAATTTTTCTTATTCTACCGTACGAGCTAAACACTTAATGGTAAGTATTTCATAGGGTTTTCATCAAAATTTAACAAGACTTGTCAAGTGGTTAAACACTTTCCTAAAAACGGTTAGATGAAGTTTTGGTGAAAACTCGATCATTTTCGGCCGACTAATCGAGTATTTTTCTTTTTACTAAAAACTTGTAAGTTTTTTCGTTTAGGACTAGTAAAAAAATACAATTGTACTCTTTCGTTTCGACGTATCTCTTGTAAAATCGGTCCCTCTCAAAGTGGGTTGGGCCCCCCGATAATACAAAAGAACCAACCAAAACTTAAAAAATAATTTTTAATAGTTAATTTAGACTCTCAAGTCCCACTTCTTCGGCGAGAAATTCGATATTTTTGTGCTTTGGTATAATGGGTATCAATTTAAATTTGTACGTCTAGGAAATACACCTGGGATCCGATTTTACAATCCTCTCCCTTACAATTCCCCCGTATTGGAAATCTGTTCTCTCACGTTGTTCTCTTGGCCGTGGCCATGTGGCCACGACCGGAAGTACCGATGATTCCGCCCGACGCCCATTTTATACCGACCTACTCCTCTCGTATGTCAGTTAATGCTCACCCAGGTGCCCCGGACTGGCTCACGATTCATGGCATGAATTGGGTGGATGAATTGGAAACCTCGCCTGCTCAATATGCCAAGTCATTCATGAAGCTCGGCACGATTCTAGAAAGTTAGAAGAGCTTGGAGTTTTACATCTTATGCTTTCGCCTCAATAAAAGTATGGAAAGTACCTTAAAACCAATTGACATCCATTTTTTTGTTCCTCAGCAACAGTTTCTGCTGTTTACCGATACTTCTCACACTTGAACTTGTTGTACTCTAGCATTTCGAAGAGGGGAATGCTTCCTGGTTTTTAGACGTCTAGGAATGCCTTGTAATAATTAGAAAATATTTTAATGGTGTTATTTTGGGAAAATTTTACGATCTTTCAAGTGGAAAAACACACCTTAGAAAGACTTAAAACATTTCTAAGCCGATATTTTAGTCCAAGATCTGTCTTCTTGGTCGAAAAATCGGTATTTTGTGTGTTAAGTCAAATCTTGTGAAGATTTTACTTCTCATCTCCTTACCGAAAACCCCCAGCCCCCCGTATGCCAAAACAAACTTTTGAAGCCACCTTTCCCCGCGTCGCCGTTTGATTTTTTTCTGTGTTTTCGAACGATTTTTCTTGCCACATCTTCCTTTCATTTGTCTATTTTTTGTTTTGTATATTTCCATTCAAGTTTCTTGCAGGTTTTGCCCATTGGATGTGGTGATCGTCCCGGGCGGACTTCCAATGTGGGATGGCGGCGGGCGGGCACGAACCGCCGTCCCACTCCTACTCCTCACCCTCATCATCCAAACCACTATTGTACGTTATTAATAGCTTTATCAGATCTGAATTTATAAACCACGTAATAATTTTATTGACGAAAATTGGGTTCCTAGGTATCGGGTCGGACGATAGCGTCAGATGACACGCTGGTGCGGACGAGTCTCGGCGATATCCGGGGCCTCAAACAGGTACTTTCAGTCCCCCTTCCTTTACAAGCACAGCCGTACAGAGGAAGCCGGTAATTTGAGGTCAAAGTTCACGTGTAAATAGAGCGCTCTCGTACTTGTGACGCCCCGTAACTCCCCCCAGCACGTCGCCATAAATTTTTAATAAATTTAATAGAAGTATTGTATTAAAAAGAAGTTTGTTTCTAGCGTCGAAGTGCAAAAAGCTTTTTTACATCTTTCTTTTTCAGGTACCTCCGACCTTCAGCCTAACCGCTTTCCTCAGCGTCCCCTACGCGGGGTACCCGTTGGCGGCCGAAGATTTAGACTGCCGGAGGTTCCTTTTTTTTTGAAAATAATCGCATCTTTCTCTTTTAGAAAGTGCCAGCCTGGAATGGAGAGTTGGAGGCGAAACACCCGTCGCGGACTTGCGTCACACCGTCGACAAGATGTTCCCCGACTTTCCGGAGCGCCGAAATGTGGAATCCACCTCCCAGTGTTGGTTTTAAATTATTTAAGGCCTTTGAAATTGTGTATTATAAGTATTCCGGTGTTGTTTTCCTTTTAATATCGATTCTTAGGGTCAATTTACTCTTTTCAGAGCGCACTATCGGAGGATTGTTTGAGTCTGAATATCTGGGTGCCCCGAAGAAACACGACGGGTCGGTGATGGTATGGGTGTTTGGAGGCGGTTTCTTCTCAGGTAAGTGGGTGAAAAAGCTAAACTGTTCTCTGACGATTCTTAAACGCAAAAAGTTCATAAAAAATTTAATTTTTTTAAAGTATGTAAATATCGATTTGTCGACAAAAATTTCACATTTTGAAAAGTCTCTATTTTAGAGAGTTTTCAACTTTAAATACAGTTAAATTTTATTGAAAACACTACTGAAACGCTTGCCATTACATTACTAGGCATTTCTGGACTCGTAGGAAAAAGTTAAGACCCCCCCTCCCCGATAGTGCGAGAGAAACGGATCGATTTTAGGTTCCCCTAGCCTCGATCTCTACGACGGTTCGGTTCTTGCCGTGAAGTACAACAAGATTGTCGTTAATATTAACTATCGGTAAGTGGCAACTTACCAAGTGCAAAACCCTCCAAAGAATACAAAAAAAGTAATGAAAAAGCCGTGCATGATTTCAGACTTGGTCCTTTCGGCTTTTTGTACCTCGGTGGCGACTCGGGCATCAACGGGAATATGGGCTTGATGGATCAGCAGGTCGCGCTAAGGTGTGTGAATTTTATTAAGAGGATTATTACTATCAAATACCGTTAAAAGTATGAACTACGAACTATGAACTACAAAGCCTTCAGCTGGGTCCAGAGCACATCCAGTTTCGTTTGGCCAGGACGCGAGAAGCGGGTCACGCTTTCTACGGCGAGCGCCGGAGCTCCTTACCAATGCAGCACATCTTCAGCGCCCGATTCGCATCGATTGTTTTCGAAGATTATAGCTGGGTATTGAAAAGTTTATTTTCGAAATTTCGTTAAAAATAGAACCCATTTATTCCTATTTTTCCAGAGCGGCACCAATCACGAACACTTGGGCGTCACGGACCAAAGAGACGTTGCTGGAAACATCACTACAATTAGCGAGACTTGTCAACTGCACAGGCACCGGCGGCTGTGACTGAATCCCATCGGAAAGTGTCCGCGCGCTCTGCCGAGCTCCAAGTCTGGGTATATCCTTATGTCGTTTTCCGGTTACTTTTCGTTTGGAACACAACAGTCTGATCCGAACAGCATCGACTTGCCGATGTCATTTCCGTTTTGCGCCAGGTGGAGGAGGATGATCATTTCTTTAAGGTATCGCCATTCTTTTTTCCTCTTCTTTTGCCCGTTTTCCGGGGAATTTATGGGAGCGCATCCGGCGACGGGAATTTAAAGGGACGTTTCTGTTGTGATGAGCACGGTAGCTGATGAAGGCACATATTGGTTGCCCTATTTCCTGTAAGAAATGTTTTCTTTTATTGAAATCGCCTTCTCTTAGCTTTGAAAGAAGTTCGGCTTCGCCTACAATCCTTACGATCTCGGCCGAGGACCACAAAACCGGGCTCGAATCGACAACGAGCAGTTCGGGAGGTCGATTGGGGCATTTTGCCGTATTTCGGGAACTCGGCGCTCGTACGTCATTCTCTGATCCATGCGTATCGGCATTTGTCGCCGTCGCCGGATGAAGTGGGTCTTTTGAGGAATTTTCAGTATTCCCCGGGTCTTTAAGTAACAAAGTATCAAAACTTTAGCGAGCGATTGCGCGATGGAGTAGCTCGATTCCTTGGCGACTACTTCTTCACGTGCGGCGTTTTGGAGTTTGCCGATCTGCTGGCCGATCACATTCACGGGCCGCTCTACATGTATTACTTCACAATGCGGTACGGAAGTTATATCATAGTAATTAAAAAGAAGGCTAAAAAACTGCAGCCCCCGCCGACCTTCGCCTACTGTATATGGGCTCCTGGTTGTGTTACAGGGTTGTAATGTATACCAAAATGGTCGCCAGACCAAGACGAACATTTTGGTATACTTTACACACCTGTAGACAAACGCGGAGTCGAGTTAAAAAAGAAAAAGTATATAAATGAAATGAAGGTACTAGACTACAAAAGACCTAGGTTTATAACTTGAAAATTCTACCAGATAGATTAAATCGTAAAAACCCGCGGTTTCTAGGTCCTCCGGCAACCCGTGGCCACGCTGGATGGGTGTAATGCATGGGTATGAGATCGAGTACGTCTTCGGCCAGCCCTTCCGCCGTCCTATGCTCTACGCCCCGGAAAAACTGGCGGTAGGACTTACCATGAAACGTTATTAAAACTTTATTATATATTAAAATTTATTGAAAAGTATGTACAATTAAACAATGGTAAGTCTGGCCTCTCGCCTTACTCCGGACATAAGCTCGGCTCGACGCATTTCCCATCCGGATTCCTCACAAAACCCAGGCTGCACTCGCACACATTTTTCTTGTCGCATTCCACCGGCAAGGCGCATATCTTTAGATTAACGGTTTAAAGAATATAGTGATGTTTCAGATTAAGTGATTTTTGAATTAATTGCTTTTTGTTACCTTGGCCGGCTCCTCGCCACACTGGCGCTCACAGCCCGTCTCGCAATACATGAACCGCTCGTTCGAGGGGCAATCTGAATTTTATAGCTTAAAGTGAAATTTTAGACGAAGTTTTTAAATCTAAACCTCAAATCTGGTGATTTTAATAGCTTATAAACGTGGTTTGGGGTATTCTATGACGTTAAAAACTCACAATCCCACCATCTCGCCTCGGCGACGACCAGCAGAAAGCCGAAAATGATCACCGATAGCTGTCGAAACATTTGTGTTGCTGTTCTCGCGTATTGTCTCGGCCCCGCCACCACCGTTTATATTGGCCCGAGCATTGCGGTGCCCCTAAAAAGCTGTAAACAGGCGCCGAGTTTTTGGCCTCGCGCCTCCGATCGGCAACACATCACACGCCAACGTGAAATAAACCGAAAGGATAAGAGATTTTTGAAAATTTAACGATGGTCTGGAAAGTTTAATTGAAATTACTGAGTCTATAGAGACGGTAATACTAAGGTTGTAAAACTTAAAAATTGCTGAAAACAAAATAAACACAGATAAAACCGAACTGATTCCAGACCGAGCAAAAATTTTCGGCGGCGGTGATGCAGATGTGGATCGACTTCACGAATACCGGGTAGGTACTTTTGCCGGAAAATTATAATCTGTTTATCCGGCTCGTTTTGAAAACGCCGAAATGCAAGGATTTCGTGATTTTTGGCTTGCAATCTATGGATTGGATAACTTTTGTATTGGAAATTTCGACAATCTGACAAAAAAGTCCGTTTAGAATGCCAGCGTACTTCTGGCCAAAGTACAATCGTGTGGAGAAAAAGGCGTTGGTGCTATCAGAAGACTTGGCCGTTGGTGTGCATCGGATCACTGAAGATGTTCACGGCGCGCAATGCCGATTGTTGGCCGAAGCGAAAAGTCTTGTTGGGCAGTGTTAGTTTTTTACACACTTTATTCACTGTAAAGTTTAGAAATTAGGTACTTTGGTACTGTGGCATTATCAGGGGAGATAAAGTTTTTGTTAGAATCCACCAAAAATCTATTAAAAATTTAAAAATATCGATTTTGCCAAGAAAAAATCGCGATTTTCGATCAAAATTTTATTTTTAAATAATTTTTCGAATCTTCGAAAGTTTTCCCATTGAAAGATAGCTAAATTTTACAAAAAAAAAACCGATTAAAACAATACCACTTTTCAGTACCAATCAACGGGGTCGAATGCCGATCCCGACGCACGGGCCCTCAAGCCGTCACCGCCTCTGCCAACCCCTATAATCTGCCCGTGTTGTTAGTTCTCCTCATCGTCGCCCCCTACGCGCTCTTATAAACATGATGCTGTTATGATAAGTCTTACGTCTTTTATAACTTTGTTAATATCCCGATTCCCGAGCCAAAATCCCCTCTACCAGAGCCCCCGTTCCATGACATGTGCACATATCAAACAACGAATGATTGTGTTTTGCCCCCCGGATCGAAATCGTGCTAAGCTTTCGCGTCTGGTTCTTTAAATTTTAAATTTTAAACTCTATAGCAATTTCAGGACTTTAAATTCCCTTGACAAGGGATGGTAGCGCATCAGAAAAATGGATAGAATCGGCGCTAATCTACAAGCGCATAAGATACACACACAGTACCGATAAACGAGTACTGTGTAGTGAATCGTACTCGGAATCGGAGAACGTGACGATACACTGTACGCGTCGAAGTCCTGCGCTCTAGACATTATTTTCCTATTTTTGAAAAGCTAACGTCCCTTTAATTTTTCCTGTTTATACCCGAGCCAAAATTGTTTTGCTTTTTCTTTTAAAGGACAGTAGAACATCAAAATTATTAGAATTGCCGAAAATGCGAAAAGCGCACAAAACCCACGCGTGCTGCATAGCGACACGTACTCGAGATGGGAGAACGCGACACTACACTGTACGCGCCTATCTACTGCTCTCTAAACATTGTTTGCTACCTATTTTTGATACGACACTATCCTTTTAATCCATCCTTTTTGCCCGAGCCAAAATTGTTTTCATTTTCTTTCTCTCTTTTCATTTTGCTCCCATTCGGATACGGTTTTTAGATCGGAAGCCAAGATGAGGGGAATTCTAGCGGTTTTGACACTTTGTCTGGCCATTGTTTGTAATCGAAAAACTAAAAATTGATGACATTACCAAAGTCGGCAAAGCTGTCAAAATCATCGCAAAATTCCCATAAAATTCCTCGCTCGTTGTGCCCTTCTCTCGCCATTCCGAACCCCCAGCCCATCTCACTTCACACCACCACCACCACACAATTTCTGCAACTTTCTTCAAATTTTTCAACTTTCCCGCCCCAAAAAAATTTGCCAGTTTTTGCGACCGAATAAATTATCTATGCTTTCAACAAATTGGACACGTTTTTCGGGTTTCCTGCGCCTCTTTTTTGCGGCACGACAATATTTGCCCAAGCGATGCCGCGGACCCGCGGGATGCCGTTAAAATTGACCCCCGCACGCCCGGCTCGACATAGCTATTGATCTTTTTTCGGGGTTTGAAACAAATTTGATGTATTTTTGAGGTTTAAAAAAGTTATAAAAATCAAAGTTTTGCAAAATAACCTTTTCTGGAGGAACTTTTCATAATTTAGAGTTGATTTTAAAGTAAAGTAAAGTAGTAAAGTAAGTAAAAAAAAATTCGGAAATTCGCGCCGAATATGAAAAAAAACTTAAAACCAGTTTTCTGAAATTGCGATGACCTTTTCCATAGTTTAACTTTGATTTTAAAAGTAAAAAAAGGTTCAGAAATGCGTGCTGGGTAAAAACAGTTTGTAAAATAAAGTTATCTGAATTTTCTAGGACACTTTTGAGAGTTTTAAAGCTATTTTCTGTCATTCTGGAGCTTTTAAAAGATTCTGTATAGCATTTCTAAGTGAGGTATCCATGAACCTGTATACAGCGAATACGTATACGCTGGTACAATGGTGCTCTCCATGGTGTCACATCGATCTTCTTCCTTTCAGGATTGGGATGGAGAAAAAGGCTAAAGAGGGAGAGCAAGAGAGACTAGGGAATGAGAGAGACGAGAAGCCGGGGGACCGGATAGAGATAATAGGGACGCAGGTCGGCAGCCAGCCGGCTGGCTGGCTGACCACTGTCCGTTCCCGGAGAGCCCGCATATTCTTTTTACACCCCCCACGCCATGAACCCAGCCGTTCCACGCAAATCCCTTATTTGCGCTGTACTGATTCAAGGCTCTTTGTTTGTACCATATTTTTTAGGCTTGTTTTGAATTAAAAAGTCTTAAACAGCGGATTAAAAAGAAGTAATTTCAATTTCTGAAACATGAAACGACCTAAAATTTGAAAGTTCCGATCAGTTTTTTCACAAACGAAAATTATTTGGGCTTTGAGAATGTATTTTGATGTTAAAAGTAGTTTTCAGCATCGAGTGGAACGCAAAACTCAACGCGTAGCAAGAATTTTCAAATTGTCATGTTTTGTAAGATGTTTTAAGCATTGAAGAAAAATAAAAAAGCGACATAAAGCTTTAGAAACGCTTCCATTTCCTCAAAAAATGTAGAAAGCCGAGCTCCACGCCTCCTATATGTTGCCGCCTCTTATCTCTCACTTTTGGGCTAATGCTTCCGTGCACTGTTGTTTCTGTGGCCTCCAGCTCCCAGCGAAAAGCCTCGGAAGCTCGGTTTTATGTTTGCCAGACCCCCACGAATCACATCGATTTATGCTAATCCATCGTGGGCCGGGGGTCTGCGTGCTGGACAGTACCCGGTGATTGTCTAGAATTTAGCGGGGACCCCAATTCCCAAATCACAATGTTTTCCAGATTTTCTATAGCTTTTTAAAATTGTTCCATTTAGTTTCAATTCAATCGCATCTATTTTCAGCGAACGGGCCAAGATGTCGGCCCTGATGGGGCTGGGCGCTTGCGGCGTCTCGGTGCTCTTCTTCGGCTCCATGTTCGTCCCGATCAAGAAGTTTGATGCTGGCGATGGTGGGTTTTTTATCGGTTTTTTTTAAAGGATTTGGGTCTGAAATTTAGGCCATTTACGACCGGTCGTTATAGCTTATATCACCTTGCGTTCAAAATAGCTTTTCAAAAACGTAAAAAATTCGTTATCACGTAAGGAAGAATTTGTGTTAGCGGAATTACGACTATTAAAGTTTACACGGCATTTCTTTATCTCTTCCTTGCAATGGAAGGCAGCTAAAAATGAATAAAAACTTCAATTTTCAACATTTTATATGTTTTAGTCATCGAAAACTACTAAAAGCACTATTAAAATGCACCACATCTTTTACTAGATAGATATGGGTTAATTATGGAGCCTAAAAGCAGCAAAAAATTTAGGGAAAATGGACGGAATACCAACAAATTTTAACAACTCTTTTTTTTTCAGGCCTCTTCGTGCAATGGGTGATGTCGGGCGCGATCGTGTTGGTTGGCTGGATCTGCTGGGGTCTCCGCTCGTTCCCCGGCTTCTACCCGCTAGCCATGTTAGGAGGCCTCTCATGGGCCCTCGGCAACTCTCTGGCCATCCCGATCATCTCGAGACTCGGCATGGCACTCTCCATTCTCCTCTGGAATACCACGAACTGTCTGGTCGGATGGGCCGGCGGTCGGTGAGTGCTTGGTCTGCATCTAAATATGTTTTTAGCTTCGGTCTGTTCGGCATGCAGGCGCACCCACCGGCTTCATCGATTCTCAACTATTTGGGGCTCGCACTGGTGCTCACGGGGTTGGTTTTTTATCATTATTGCGATTTCGCTTAGAATTTACACCATATCTTATTTACTAGTGGCTTCCTCTTCTCGCGTGTAAAAGGCAACGCTGATGAGACGGAAGACGACACGGCTGGCAAACGGATCACGCTTCATCTTGTAGGTTTTTAATGAAGTTTAACGTGACCTTAAAAACGTAAAATCAATCTTTGTTTTAAAGCAGGATGATCATCAACTGGAAAACGTGGTAGCCCTGGTAATATCCAAAGAACTTTCTTGCCTGTTTTTTATTTTGCTGTGCCATTGAAGCTTTTTGCCATGTGGTTTCCGGCTTTTTACAACCTGATTTTAGACGAACGGCGAGTGCGAGAAGCTGAATGTCGGCGATGGATCGGACGATGAGGAAAGCGGAAAGGATAAAACGGCCGAAGATACGACCATCGAAGGCGTTGAGGCAAAGCGAAAGGCATCTGGCCGTGGCCTGTACGTTTTTTTCTTCTCACGATTAGGCTTTATAAAATTAAAATTTAATCCGGTTTGGATTTCAGTGGCATCGTCCTTGCTCTAATCTCCGGCTGCTTCTACGGGCTGACGTTCGTGCCAGTGATCTACATGCAAGACAACCTGGACAAGTTCCCGGGGGCTCCTGTTGACGGGCTGAGCTACGTCTTCTCGCACTATTTTGGAATCTTCATCTCTGGCACTGCACTGTTTCTCGGATACGCGATTTTCAAGTGAGTAACATGTTTTTTACGCTCTTGTTTACTGTTTTACTAAGTATGCAACCTTTACAAATTTTGGTTAAAACACGGAAAAATATTGATTTTCCGACAAAAAATGCCTATTTCTACTGAAAAAATGTATTTCTAAGTTTTTTAAATAGTTTTCCGCTTGAAATGCAATTGAATTTTACTAAAAACTATCAAACACTTACTATGAAGGTGGCCGGAATTTAGGCATATTTGCCCCCTCCCGATATTGCAAAAGGTCCTAAATCCATAATTCCAGGAAAAACAAGCCAATAATCAACCCGGAAATCACGCTGCCCTCTTTTGCCGGCGGACTGATGTGGGCGATCGCGCAATCATCATTCTTCATCGCGAATGACAACCTGTCACAGGTGGATTTATCATCTTCCTATAATTTTAGTGTTCAGGCGGTCACGTTCCCGATCATCACCACCCTGCCCGGCTGCGTCGCGTCGTTGTGGAGCATTCTGTACTTCAGGGAAATCAAGGTGTGTTCGATCAAGCAGATTTGTTCCTTAGGGCCTAATTTTCTAATCTAAATAGGGGAAGTGTTTTTTAACTATTTCTAAACGTAAAAACTCCAAATTTTATTAAAAAAACGCAAAAATATGGATTTTTTGCGACAAAATGGCCTTTCTAAAGCAGTTTGTTTTGAAGTTATTTAGATAGTTTTTCTGCTTGGAAGATAGTTCTTTTACTAAGAACACTACAGGGTGTCCCAAAAACCCCCCCCCCTACCTAGCGGTCCGCAGTCGATTCCGATTTTTACGATTTAGGTATCTATCGAAAGCTCTCGAAAAGGCGAGAAAACAAGGAGGGTTGAATTTCTTAATTAAGCCTTTTTATTTGCTAATTTTATGTCCAAAAACCATGAAAACTGCTGATTTATGCGAGATCTGCATGCTAATTGCGAAATTCCTGAAAAAAATTCTCGGCTTTTTAGGAAAACCTGAAATATTGATAGAATCAGATTAAATCTTAGAAAACGAAACCCGCTTGTTTTCTCGCCTTTCCGAGAGCTTTCGATTGGTATAAAAATCATTCCGATCCGATCCGATTGACGGCCTCTAGAGGGGGGTTTGGGACTAGAGATGTTTTTATTCAGATACGACTAAACCGGAAATTCAACTAAGTCGATTCGGCTTATTCATATTCAAATAAGCATTCTTTAATCGATTACGGACATCCGAATCTGAATAAGGAATCCGTAATTCGACTAAGCTTACAAGGGAACCTCACGCGGACAGGGTGGAATTTCGGAAAACGCTCGCGGCTACCCCCAGGTAATCGGCCATTGCGATCACGATGCACTTGTCAGATTTTTCTGACCGTACCTGTGGACAGAAATACAGCACTTCCGGAAAATGATGTTTTAAATGCAAAAATTAGCATAGAGGGATGGTTTATGAGGCTCTCCCAGCACTATGGAATCACCAGTTGAATGGCCGAGTGGTAAGCGGCTTGCTTGATAGGATACTAACGAGGGTTCGGATCCGCTCGCGTTTTTTGCTTTTGCTTTTTGGCCTATGATTTTTGTACAAGTCCAGTAAGTTACTACTCGTAGCCAAAAACCCTATTTTGCGTTATATTCCATGTATAGCCAGTGTAGTTAAAAAAAGTTTGAAAATGAAAATCAGCCCTGCCGACTGGGTCCCACACATGTCGGTACAAAAATTTTTTAATTTTTTAGAACTAATTTTGAGACGTCGCCGGTGGCACAATTGTCATAAACTTAAGAAGTGCTTTACCAGTTATAGTTCTGGGCTTGTACAAAAATCATAGGCCAAAAAGCAAAAGCAAAAAACGCGAGCGGATCCGAACCCTCGTTAGTATCCTATCAAGCGAGCCGCTTACCACTGGGCCATTCAATTGGTGATTCCATAGTGATGGGAGAGCCTCATAAACCATCCCTCTATGCTAATTTCTTGCATGTAAAACAGCATTTTCCGGAAGTGCTGTATCTCTGTCCACAGGTGCGTTCAGAAAAATCTGACAAGTGCATCGTGATCGCAATGGCCGATTTCCTAGGGGTAGCCGCGAGCGTTTTCCGAAATTCCACCCTGTCCGCGTGAGGTTCCCTTGTTAGTTGAATTAGTCGAATCTTAGCCGAATAAGTTCAGTCCTGACTTTGCTTTGCTAAAATATGGCAAAGCAAGATTTCCATCAACAGAATTTCCGCGTATTTCCATTTTTTCATAGCCATTCCTCGTTAAAATCCTCATTAGCATGTTATTCGACTAAACTCGGTTAATTCGACTAAAACGCGCCTATCTGAATAAGATTTTGCTGATTTGGTTAAGCTAATCGGAATTGAATAAGGAAATTTGGCATTCGGCGAACCTTAGTGCGAGAACGTTAGTTGCTTGCATATCTTAGTTGAATAATAACATCTCTATTTGGGACACCCTGTATTAAAAAACTTCATATTGCGTTACTGTGCATTTCTAGACAGCAAAAATTCGCACCCCACTCCCCCCCCCCCCGATAATGCCAAAGATCCATAAATTGTGTAAATTTTGTAATCATTCCAGGGCCAACGCAACTTGACGACGATGGCCATCGCCATTGCTGTCACCCTGACTGGGGCCAGCCTCGTTGGACTATCGAAAATCGTCAATTTATAACTTTTTTGTTCCTTTTTTTCTTGGAATGCTCTTTCAAAACCTGTTTGCTTAACCCCTCACCAAAATGACAATTATTCCGTCGCGTCTGTGATCTCTGCATATGTGTCTTCATTCATTAACCACGCCCTCCACAAAATGTTGTGATTTGCCGTGTGCCTTCCCGCAACCAAAAGCTCCATAGTGTTATTTTGACAATTTGAACAATTGATAAATTTCTAACAACGACAAAATTCAGGACATTTATTAGATGGCAGTACACGCGTTAATATTTTTAATTTAATTGAGGCTAATTCTGGAATTATGGGTCGGATTCGAGGAACCAGTCGATAATTCGGCGGCGAAGGCTCTTTGGCTTCTCGAGCACATGAACGACGACATCGGGGAGCTGAACAAACGGCGTTTTTTAGCTTAATTTAGTTTCAAGGCAATCAAAAAAATAGATATTACGTTTTAGAGGACCAAAAAAATATGGATATCTGGTTTTTAGGCGATAAAAATGCTTTGTTCGGCTTTTTAGACCACCTAATAAGAAAAGCGCACCTCGGCGAGCAGTTGGACCAATTCGGCAAATGTCGGCCGATCCTTGGGGTCATATTCGAAACACCGATGTACAATCTTCTCCAGGTCGCCGCGCATCGGGATCAGCAGCGGGTAGTTTTTCTGTAGCGAATCGATTTTTTTAAACTAAATCTAACTATCAGGTTGGATAATAAGTTCTGTCACAATTTTTTGGAATCGCTTGTTAAAGCTGCAGACGTGCCCAAATTACTAGTGGGATATATGGTCTGATAGGTATCCTCGAGCTCTACCTTGGGTAGACCCTACTCGCACCCAAAAATTGAGAGTCGCCGAGATAGAGCTTCGAGAAGTTTTCCGCAAAAACGTACCAAACCGATTTTGCAAGCTATCTCTGCATAGAGCAATTTGCATGCGATACCTTTAACGCAAATCGATAGCTCTCGAGGAGTAGTTATCGATAGATGTTGAGATCATCAAAATTGGACATCGGATGGCCGAGATACGACCCCTTGAAATTTAGCCCATTTCTTAGAACTTTTCCCAAAATCCCATACATTTGATAGCCCGCGGCCAAAACTGACCGCTTGATTTTCAAAAGAAACGAGCGCATTTTGACCAAATGTATGGGATTTTGGGAAAAGTTCTAAGAAATGGGCTAAATTTCAAGGGGTCTCGTATCTCGGCCATCCGATGTCCAATTTTGATGATCTCAACATCTATCGATAACTACTCCTCGAGAGCTATCGATTTGCGTTAAAGGTATCGCATGCAAATCACTCTATGCAGAGATAACTTGCAAAAACACTTTCGCTCAATTTTACGAAAATCTTCTCGGGCCTGGATCTCGACGTCCCTCAATTTTTGGGTCAGCTGATGGTCCTCGCAGAATAGAGTGTTGTGAGACCGACTAACCATACCTCGTACTCCAGAATCGGGAACATCTGCGATTTTAACGAGCGATTTCAAAAAATTGTGACAGAACTTATTATCCAACCTGATAGTTTAAAATTTAACTTTTAAATAGGGTTAGTTTTTAACCGCACCCAGCAATCCTTTTTCGTCTTTTTGATCAGCGCCTGGAAGCGCACGTCCGGGTTTTTGTCCTCGAGGATCTCGAACGGGCGCTTCCCGCGGGTGTACAGCTGAACATACAAATATATTTTCCCGGCTTGCAGGCTTCAATTCCTGACCTCAGTGACCATGACGCCAAAGCTCCAGACGTCGGCCTTGTGGTCAAAGTGCGGCTGCGCTTTGCTGTAGCTCTTCAGCACTTCCGGTGGCCAATATCTGCGCAGGGGATCGAGAATAAAGAAAATCGATAAACCTCAACGGCAAGGCGTTCTTCTTGGGGTCCACCTTGGCACCGCGGGCCATCGACAGCCCAAAATCGGACACCTTCACGTGGACGCCCTCGCGGTCGAGCAGGAAATTTCGGGCTGCCACGTCGCTAAAAAGCGTTCTTTAGTATTCCAGGGAAATCCGCATTTTTTTACTTATCCTAAACCACAAAAATTTAAAAAAGCTGTAAAAATTGCCACCAACATTTTGCCACCAAAATCTCAAAAACCTTAGCAGTTTTTACTAGTTTTCCACTTCAAATAGAAATAAACAACCCAAAAAAGAACTAATAATTAGGGTTCTTGATAAAAAGCCTACCGATGAAGCACACCATGCTCCTCCAAACACTGCATCCCCTTCGCCGCGTCGTAGATCCAGTTCAGTCGCACGATCTCGGTTTGCTAGAGATTTTCGGGTTCAAAAATGTATTTTCTCACCTCTTCTTTCTCGATTTTTCCCTGTAAACTGGCGCCGACGAGCTCCATGACGAGCAGCATCGGCTCGTCCGTCGTCGCCACGCCGTAAAAGGCGACTACATTCGGCTAAAAAGTCGGTATTTCAGGTGCAAAATTTTCCCACGTGATTGAGCTCCTTCATCTGATTGGCTTCCGAATAGAATTCACTCCGTTGTAGGGCGTCCATATTTTCACCGAAAAGCGTCTTCACCGCGCAGGGTTGCTGTAGAAAACGGCATGGCTTATTTTAGCTCTTTTTCGGCTTCATTTTATAAGGTTTTCAAGTCTACCTACCGGCTTTTTGTAGGGATCATACTGGTAGAGGGCCTCGTAGACACATCCGAAATTCCCGGCGCCCAGCTGCCGCGTGCACATGATCTGCGAGTGGTCGAGTTGCCAGCTCGACTTCTTCGCGTGGTATCGAATGTAGTAGCCCTCCGTACACACCGGATCACTAGAAAAAGGGTTTTTTGATAGGTAATCCTGGCTGCACCTACCCCTTGTCGACGTGGTACTCGATCAGAGCCGGGATACTTTGAAAGCTCCAATCCGTCACCCAGTATCGGAATTTCTACAACGAGCAAGAAACGATTAACATGAAAAACGATGAGCATCTACATCACTGCAGCAGATTTGCGTGTGATAGAGGGCCCCGTCGAACCACGACGAGATGACGTAGATGTACTTGCGCTCGTGCACGCTTTGTCGCACTGAAAAACGGGCCGTTTTCACGGGCAAACTCGGTTCAAACCTAGAAAGACGCCGTTGCAGCGGAAAGCCGGATTCTCGAACAGCTTCTCGCACTCGCTCCTCGGCATGAACCCATGGTAATAGGGCATCTCTTGGAGACGCGGGTGCTCGAGGTAGGAGATGCGGCTCGCGATCTGGAAAATGACTTTTACGGCGGATTAAGGCCAAAATTTGTTATTTAACGGCTAGAATACTAATAAACAGTGTAAGATCTTCCTCTTCGCCCACCGGGATCAGGCAACTTTCCCCGCTCGTTGGCTTCCGGCGCTTTGCATTGCTGGTCGGCCGAAGATGTTGACTCTTTGCTGGCGGGTCCGGCGAGTCCGCCTTCGCTCCCGACATCGCGTGTTCGAAATGACAATTTTTGGGGTTTTTACGCTAATAAATTTTTATGCAAAGGAGGCCACTTCCAAACTTTCTGAGACCAAGTCAATTGAGGGGAGCGTCTTTGGCATATTGGGGCTGGGCGTGAGGATAAGGAAAAGAACTTCAACCTAGATCATAAATAAATTTATATAAATTTATACCCAAATTTCAAAAACAAAAATCAAAACTTCGAAACCCGATTTTACAAAGTCCGAAACGATACAAAATTACGTACGGTTCGTTAACTGGAAAGTTCCGTTCATCCACATTTCTGATTTTTTCACCAAGAATTTTCAATTTTTTTCCTTTTGGTTCCTTCAGTTGTAGATATCTAGTTTTTCCTCTTATAATTTCTCTTTTTCAGGTATGCCCATAATTCATTCGCCACGCCCCAACCTTCCACGCCAACGACGCCCAATAGCAAGACAACAAACAGCCGTCAAGCCCGAAGTCGTACCCAAAACCCCAACGCTCGCCGACTTCCTGAAGGCCCCAGAACGCGCGAGGGAGAAGAATTTCGATGTATTGCTCCCGATCTACCACTATATCCTCAGCGGCAACAAAGTTCTGGAGATCCTCACCCGACGCTGCAACCGCCTCGGCCGCCAATTGGATATGCAGCAGATGGTCGCTTCAACTCTTTGCGAAACTCTACAACACCGGAGAGACGTCTCCGAATTGTCTTCAATAATCGCCGGCCTGTTTTATTACACCGAGACGAAAGATGCCTACGACGTGCCCGAGCTGGAGAGAAGGCCGGCGCTGTGTTCACATGTCCAAATGAATCTGAACACTTGGCGGGAAGCGTTGTCGCGACAAGCATGGGTACAAAGACATGCGGCCATCAGAGAGGAGCGCGAACGAATCGCTCGAGAAGCATGTGTACTGAAGGCCGAGTTGGCGCATCTAGATAAGATCCTCGAGATCCAAAAAGAACTTGATGACAAGCTAATCGTCCTGCGGAACGCAGGAGCTGAATATCGTATGCATCTATTTCACGGTATTATTGGAATCGACGCCTCAGAGGTTGAGGAGGATGGACGCCTTGACGAAAGCTGCTCATCAGCCGCGGGCCAAATTGAGGACAGGTCATTCGCAAATGAGATCGTCGACGGTTCCGACAGCGAAACGATAGAGTCGTGTTCAGATATCAGCAATTTTTCATTCGCTCCGCTCCCTTTCGATTGATATTTTTATTTGTGGAACTTTTGCGCATTGCTCTACTACTAATTTGCTTTGGTTTTCCGTACTTTGTTTGTGTTTTCTGTTTCGTCAGACGAGTAAATCATGTGTCTAGGTGACGATGTCACAGTCGATCGACGAGAAGCTTTTTTTCGATGAGATCGAGTTGCATTGGCGAGCCATTTTGGATTCTCTAGGTAGTTTTGCCTGTTTTCGAATTTATATAATTCAGGCACCGTTGAGGAACATGACGCAAGGAATGCCAAAATGGAGTCGGAAATAGAACTTCAAATGGCAGCATATCGCAACGGTTTGAAGGTTTTCAAATTATGAATTTTTCGAGGTCGCTCGGTGCTGCTGAACGCAAAACGGGAGGTGATCGCGAAGAAGCAGGAAGCCGGCCAACTGAAGAGATACGACGAAGTATTGACCAAGAAAGTTAGACGGTATCTTTTTTTGTTACATGACGGGAATTGCTTTAGTCACAAGAAAGAAGGACAACACTTCAACGCCAAGATCTCTTCACTGGAAGCGAAAGTTTGTGTCCTGCACATTCGCCTACAAACGTTTGCAGATCCAATCAGCATGGGAATTCACTGGCGGGAAAGAGGAAGAAGAATATTTTTGCGCTCTGGCAGAAACGCAAAAACTTTTCGATAATCACGTAGGAGCACGGCTAGTTATTAGTGTATTTTTTAGTTTCATGACCGCCATGATGACGATCGGCAGGCTCTACAAGAATCGAACATGTTTGATCAAGAAAGTACGCATTTTTTGCACCTACGCTCAGCTTTCGTGGATAACGTCCTACTAAAATGTTCTTTCAGTCGCGGTCTTGGAGGGACGCATTGACCAGTTGCAACAACAAGTAGACGGCATTGCTGCATGCAACGAACAAGAAGACCCTCATGGCTTGCCGAGTGCGGTCACCAAAGAGTTGCTCAAGCGCCTCCAAATGGTATACTACCAATGATTTCTTTAATGTTCCCCTTTTTCAGTATCGCAGCGAATGCTCAAGCAAGATTGTCGCCATGCGGCTCGCGATCCGCACGTACAAATGAGCTCAAATGTATATCGTTATCGCCTCCTACACTCGCCGCCCAAGTAATTTTTTTCTTTGCTTTCCCCCTCAAAATTTTGTCCATTGTCGGCCTGTTAAATTTGTTCTAGTTTTGCTTGATGTGATTTATTTTCTGTGATTCGGATTACCTGTTGATAAAATTATTGTTATCAAGTTTCTGCGTCTCACCAGGCTTGTAAGCTTCATTTTATTGAAGCGATGGCGTTTTGACGGCGACCGGTGGTATTTGTTTGGTGTTTCAACCATCCGGCTGTGGGCTGTTACGGGTTCGTACTACCAACCGCGGGTCCCCGTGTGGTCATGGCGCCATTACGTTATTGTTTTCTGAAAAGTAAACTGTAAAAGTTTTTATTTAGTCTTTTTATTCTCGAAGATGCTTGGATCGAAAGATGCCAAGTCGGGCAGTATAGTTCCTGATTTTTAGAATTAGTCCAATCGATCAAGTTTTTGACCCTCCCTTGTGCTTGGAATTTTCATCATGTACTAAAAATTTAAAATACTAAATAGACCTATTTCAGGGGTTGTTTGACAGGAACCGCAACGCCCAAGTTGTATGCTACATCGACTTCGTACTACTGCGAAAATCTTCAACATAGCTTGTCGTGGGTTTTTAGACGTTCTCACGCAAGTTCGGTCATATACCCCCACCCACAAAGTGTCCTTGGTTTGACCGATATGGGCGCGAAACTTTTTAATTAGCCCCATGCTCTCGGTGGGGTACGTTTCAAAGCAGTCATTAGGAACTGGTTCCGAGCGGCAGCGACGAGCCGGGCTTTTCGATTCAGATTTTGACTGCAGATAGCCGCAGGGGGAAATAAGCTCTTTCTTCTTATCCAACGCGTAGTGAAGCACGCGCGCGCGATGCCCAGCGGACTAGCATTGTTTTTATTAATTTTCGCGTCAACTAATGGCTTGGCAGAGAATAATAGTTGGTTTTTCATTTTTTTAGGAAGTGTGGTCATTTTTAGCAAACTAGCTCCTCCCACTGGGAGGAGCTAGTTTGCTGAAAATTCCTTTTTTGAGAATATTTACATGTTCAGGCAGCAAGATGGCATGGACGTCAGCTACTCTGAAGGCGTATGGTGCTTTGGATGTCGGTTTGGCGCTCAGTTTCCTTGATTGTGCTTTAGGTGCACTTGCTGAAGTCGGAGCGCAGCAAGTTGCGGATCGCCGTGTGTGACGCGCCGGGCCCGATTGTCAAGGGAACGATTTCTTTCGGTAATTTTCTTGAAGTCCTAAGTAATTTTGCGTCTAGTGACCGAAATTGACAACAACGACGGGCTGCCGCATACCCTGGAACATCTCGTCTTCCTCGGCTCGAAAAACTACCCCTACAAGGGCTTTCTAGATATTATTTCGAATAGGTTAGTGGAGGCCTAGCGGATGAAAATCTTGTCGTTATCATTTTAGGTGCTTCGGAAGTGGGACAAATGCCTGGACTGACCAGGATCACACCGCTTACACGCTGAACACGGTCGGTCATATTCCAAGTTTTTTTTTTAAAATGCTTGTTTTTTTTTAGCTCGGATCGGATGGCTTCCTGAAAGTACTGCCCGTCTATTTGGACCATCTTCTTGATCCGCTTATTTTTGTAAGTCGTAATTGCCTAGTTTAAACATATTTTTTTACTTTTAGGACGCCCACTACAAAACGGAGGTCCATCACGTCAACGGGGCCGGCGAGGACGGCGGCGTTGTCTATTCGGAAATGCAGAATTACGAAGGCGATATGGAAACGATGGTCGGAGAGTGGGTACCCCGCTCGGATCCTAATGGACCTTTAGGAAGGCCAAGACAGTGTTCTACCCGCCCGGAAACCCGTATTCCGTCAATACTGGTGGTGCGTTGAAGCATTTGCGTGAGAGCTGCACCGTTCAGAAGGTAGAAGAAAATTCTGACAACTACTATATTTTTTTCTAGTGCCGCGACTATCATAAGAAATTCTACCACGTCGACAACATGCTCGTCATGGTCACTGGCAAAGTCGATTTGAACGCTCTAAAAGATATCGTGGAGAAGGTATGGATTTTTAAGTGTCTACTAGGTACGCTCTTTCAGGTAGAAACGAAATATATGGACCGGAAACCGGCTGCTTTTGATCGCCCCTTCACTTCGTTTGTACTGCCGAAGCTTGCTGAAAAGAAGGTGGCTCGCGTGCAATGCCCAGTTGACGATGATTCGAGCGGCTACGTCGAGATGTATTGGTAAGCATTTAGTTAATGCAATAAAAACTAAAACTGCGCAGAATACCGATATAAAGAGGTTAATTTAGGTACGGCCCATCCCCCACCAACTTCAAGGACAGCTCGGCCTTCACGATTCTAGAGACTTATATGGAAGACACGGCAAGCGCGCCGCTGCAAAAAGGTTGTTCTTATCTTTTTGTTTTTTGAACCGATGTTTCCAGAATTTGTTTTGACCGACCAGCCTCTAGCCACCAACGCCTCATTCTCGTGTCTCATCCAGGTGCGCAAATTTTTTTCAGCGTAATCAGATCATTTAGAAACCCTGCGTCTTCATCTTGCGCTTCCAAAATGTCCCCAAGGCGAAGTTGGACCAAGTGGAGGACAAGTAAAATCTATTCGGTTTCTCATTCAATCTTTTTTAATCCTTCAGGGCCCTCAAGCTTTTCCGCGACCATGTGCAGGGGAAAATCGACTTTGACATGGAGCGCATGCAATCGATCATCGACCGAAAAATCCTGAGCCTTCAAAACAACGTATTTTCTTGAGATCTAAATCTCTGAACGGCATTTTTAGGTGGAAAATGACGCCAACGACATGATGGTGCACCCGATCATCAACTATCAGCTCTACTACGAGACCGATCAGGAGCTGGATGGCGCTTTTCATGAAGTAATTTTGGAGAACGCTATTTTTTACCGAAATTTTTGATTTTTATTCTTATTAAATTAAGTTTGCAACTTTTAAACCGATGTTTTTTAGATCGAGCTGCTGCGCAAACTGAGGGACTATACACCCGAAAATTGGCGAGACCTCTTGAATGAATATGTCGTCAGCCAGCACCACGCTACGATCATCGGCGTGCCGGATAAGGGGCTCGTGAAAAAGGTTCCTTTTTCAGTCTTACATTTTCATTTTTCTTTTAGAATGCCGCCGAAGAGGAGGCGCGCCTTGAGAAGCGAAAGGCTGAGCTGGGAGAAGCCGGTCTTGCAGCCAAGGAGAAGGAGCTGAACGAAGCCGTCAAGATCACGAAGGTTATTATTGAGAAGACGTTTCGTTTATCACTCGCTTTTCTAGGAAAGCTACCCACCAAACGAGCTGCTTGACGACTTCATTGTCAAGAACCTGACCAGCCTGAACAGGATCAGCGTTCAAGCAAAGGTTTGTACGTTTAATATACCTTAATTTGTGTCCTAGAAATTACTGCCTGGTGATGATCACGCCAATGACTTTGCCAAGCAGTTCCAGTGCCCTGCCGTACAGCATACTGTCGATTCGAATTTTATGCAGGTAATTTCTATATTTCAATTTTTTCTAATAGAAAGTTTTCAGATTCGGAATATTTTTATTTTTGCTTTCTCTAGGCCGTCATCTCGTTCGACACGCGCGGCATCAGCGGCGAGGACAAGCTCTGGCTGATGCTCTACAACTCGCTGCTTTTCGAGTCACCGGCAATGATCAACGGTATCGCATTTAATTGGTGTTATTAAGGATAGGCTATGATAATTATTGCTATGATTTAAAGACTGAACGCTCAATTTAGGCAAGCTACACAGCGCCGAAGAGGTCTCACGGCTCTACACCAAAGATCTGGTCACATATTCGAACGATCCTGGTGTCTTCGGTGCCTACCATCGCCTGAATACACTGAATCTGCGTGTAAGAACCCATATGATTATAGTAGCGAATTAAAAATCTTCGTAAATTTAGTTTCGTAAAAAATGGTTTTTGTAATTCCGTAAATATCGCATTTTTAGGTAGACACGGTGCGCTTCAAGAATCTCGCTCACTGGGCAAAGATCTTCACGAAAGGCGTGCAGTTCGATATCAACAAGTAAGTTTCAGGTAACTTTATTGGGGTTAGGGTTTAAAATTTTTTTGGCATTTAATCTACCATGCAGCTTTTTAACGTTTTTTTAGGGTGAAAGTCATCGCCAAAAAGCTCGCTTCTGAAGCCCAGGAGTACAAACGTGATGGAAACATGGTCTCCTCCGCTGCGTCGGCCTCGTTGAGTTATCAAAATGGTAAATGTCGGTTCGATTTTCTCCAACGCCACTTAAGGCTCCGTTTCCGCCACCTACAACCACATTCGCCTTGAAAAGTTCCACGAGATGGTCGTCAAGCTGTGCGATGAGAAGCCGAGATTTGTGGAGCAGAAGCTGGAAGAGGTTTTTCATTGGTGCGATTCTGGGAATAATTTTCATTTTTTTAGATTCGTTCGACGCTAGCCGCTGCCGGCGCCAATATCCACATCATTGGAAACCCGGAGCGGGCCAAGGCTCTTCCGACGAGCGAATGGGACTTTTTGCCATGCTCCAATAGCAACTTGTTCGAGGTTGTTTTTGGGTAATGGTTTTTAAATTTTGCTCTAGGTGAAGGCCGGCGAGGAGACGACGCAGTACGACGAACAAGCGGCCAACGGCTTAGTGATTGGCGTCGGTGGAACGGAGAGCAGCTTCGTCAGACAGGTGCGGAACATTGTATTTCTGGTGTATTTCAGGACAAATTTTCCGTGGCAAAAATGGTTTAAAATAGATGGTTTTTCAGAAAACTTTTTCTGGAGGGCCGACACGATCAAATTTAGTCCATTTTCGTAGTTCAGATCATATTTTGATATTGGAAGGTTTCATTCAAGTTAAAAATCTTCAAAATTTTTGCTTTTTGCCAAAAATTGATGAAAAACGACAAAAACCTTTCAAAATTTACAATTGCTATAGCTTCAATTTGTAGACGATCTCGTCTGGCGTCGGCTGGAAGAGCAAGGAAGCCGCCACCCTACTCCTTCTATCGCAATATTTCAGCCAAACGGAAGGTGACTGCTTTTTTATAGCGCTCAACCGATGCTTTTAGGCCCGCTATGGTGCAGAATCCGTGGCAACGGCCTCGCCTATGGCGCGAACATTTATGTTGATCTGGATGAGAAGACCATTTCGATGTCGCTGTACCGCTGCTCGGACCCGGTGAAGGCCTACAACAGCACTTTGGAGCTTGTGGTGAGCATTTTTGCGAAAAAGGTAACTTATCGCATTCTTAGCGCGAGGTGCTCGACTCGGGCAAGCTGGACACTGCCCAATTCGACTCGGCCAAGCGCTCGTTGATCTTCGAACTGATGGACAGCGAGCACGGCGTGAAGGGCGCCGCCAAACGCAGCGTGTTGGCCCAGTTGCGCGGATTGGACAACGAAACGTATATGAGGTTTTTTATCTTTTTTTTTTGTTTATTATTGAATTTTTTTAGGAGCTTCTGCGATGAGATTCTGAACACGAGTGTGGAAAATGTGTTTGCCGAGGCTGGTCCGATCATGAAGCGAATCTTTACCAAGTGAGTGCGCAGATTTGCTTTCAGGATTTCGAAAATCAGAATGCCGAAATTAGCTGTTGTCAGAATCTCAACAAATTAAAGTGTCGAAATTACAAAATAACGGATTTTAAATATGTCGAACTTTATCGTGAAATACTTTAGATTGAATGAGCCAGGAAATCCTAAAATGCCATACAGAATTTCTTTATTCATTCAATATTATGAAATTCCGGCATATTATCATTTCGACCATATGAAATTTCAGGTTTTTTTTGAGATTTTGAAATTCTGTAATTTCGACATTCTGAAAATTCGAAATTTTATAGCTATGGAAGCAAAAGTTAAATTTTGTCAATTCTAGACAATCACTCGTCTTCGTCACCCAGCCCTCGAAAGCGGCCAAGATCGGCAAGCAGCTGCCCGGCCTGCGTACCGTCAACGTCGACGACCTCGCGCTGAAGCCGCAAAAATTCTAATTTTTCTCCCTCACTACCTAGTTGTTTTCTTTTTTGGCCTTTTTTTGCTTGTTTGTGTGTGATTGTTTCCTGTTGGAGCACTAATTTATAGGCACTTTGAGAGGTACACCTTTTTTGGGGATAAAGCCTTTATTTCTGAAGTGGCCCCAGCCGCGTCATTGCGATTCGACCGGAAATTGGCTTTTCGGCCGGGGACAGCAACGTTGTACTTTGACAACTAAACATATTAGAAATCTGCGGGAATTTGGGGGATGGTAACGTATAAAAAAGGGTTCGGTATGAAAAAAATCAATTTTTTTGTATTTTGCGAACGTGGGAATAGAATATTCTAGGGATGACTGGGGTGAGCAAAAAATAAGAGAAAATTAAAACTTTTAAAAAATGGATTATTTGAACTTTGTCGCCCATTTCATGTCATCTTCGCGCGGCTTCATCCCGGTGAAATACGTGACGACGGTCTGCAACGAGTTTTATGGTATTTTTAAACTAGTGCATATACTAATTAACAAGGTTTTTAGGCAAGTTTTCCCAAGAATCCCTGCAAGTTGCTCACCTCGGCTCTTCGCCAAAAGTTGATAAAGTCGAGCGGTTGATTCAGCCACCCGGTCGTGATACAATAGTAGCAGGCGTGCGGTGAGATGTGGTGGATCTGAGAGCGGGAAAAATATGAATTTTATTTACAGTACCAGCGCCCAAAACCCGCTTCGCGGGCCTTGGGCGCTGGAATGCGGCCTTTGCATGAGAAATTTGACTTTCCGATAGCTTGGGTCCTTCGGAGTCCCCCCAACCGACCACACCCGCGCGTGCAACTTGCAAGAATGAGGAAATTTGTATTTTTTGGAATTATGCAAAGTAGCCCTCCCTCGCGCCGGACACACACACACACACAGAGATACACCCCGAAATTATATAAGGTAGGATAAGTATTTATATAACTCGATAACGATTGTATAAATATAAACAATATACCATACTAAGGATTCGTCTATTAAAATTAACAGCGAAAATACCTTATGATGATTGCGAGGCAATATGATATGCGCCTTCTGAAGAGCCACCACCCACGGGGACAGCCCGAAATACGTGTGTGACCATTTGTGAATCTGAAAAGGCTTTTTTCTTATATAACTAAGTTACTAAAATAAACACTAGTTCGATTTCTCGAAGGGCAATCAGCAGAGATTCTTAGAGTTTTGAAAAGCTCCGAAAAGATCCTGCATCCTCTATCTAGGCGTGGAAACTAGCAATTAGATAATTTTAGGATCTTCGGTATTCTTATTCGGATCCTCCCTCTCTCCGTCGAAATAGACGTTTTTTTTCTGGAGTACGGTATGACTTTTCGGTAGAATCTTTGATCATAGCGAGGGGTAGGAGGTGCTATTTGGTATTCAATAGGGGGCAGGATGGCCCATTTCCGGTGGGCTTTTACCGCGCGCGCGGCCCGATCATAGCGCCCAATCGCTAGCTATCCAAGCGGCTTATTCCAGGAAAATATGCCCAAAAAGTCGCCGGCAATCACTGAGGTAAAATACGGCCGTTATTAAGTTTATTTTGTAGTTTTCAGGCTTATTTAACGCTATTTTTTTAGAAAGCAACCCTCGCCGAACTCGAGCAGCTTAAAGCCGAGATCCCGCTCTACCGGATTGTCACGAAATTCACCGACAAAACATCAATTCTACGCGTCGCCACTGCGTACATGTTGGTGGGAAAATAAGATAATTGTGATAGTTATCCTATATTATTGTTTTAGGTACATTTAATAGTTATTTAATTGAGTTTTTAGACGAAAAAGTTCCTCGGCGAACACCTTGGGGAATTTGATGGTCGCGTCAGGTCGGGAATCCCGGATGAGAGCACGCACAGTGTCATGGTCAGTTTTTAAAAGTCCGTAGGTGATTTTTCGACGTTTTCAAAACCCTAGAAAGGTGATAAAACCCGAGGTATCGATTTTCAAAAATAAATCTAGGATTTTCTTTGGTTTTCATATTTTGGCGGGAGCAGACTTTTTTGGCGGAACAGAATATAAAAATTACAGTTCGCTTGGCTATAAAAGCTCTGTTTTTAGCCATAAAAATTTCTTTTTCGATAAAAAGCATAACATTTGAAAAATTGAAAATTTTTACGAGATTTTAAAAGTTTTTTTATCGGTAAAGTGCGATTTAAATGTTGCTACACGCCCCATAAAATTTACATTGCCTTGTTAGGAAATCTTTAGGCCCTGGATGGCTTCTGTATGGTAATTGACCGATTGGGCCGTTTGCTGTACGTGACAGAGTCGGCGGCCGCTCTTCTCGGCTATTCACAGGTGAGATTGTACGCCTTTTGCTAGTATAAGACGATCAGATCGAGGTGCTTGGGTGTGAAATAGAAGAGCTAGTGAGTCAACAGGGGTGGCAGCACATCCGTCAATTGCTACAGTATCGAGGGGACGGGTAAGACAATTTTTAGAATGGTTTAAAGGGCCCGGGAAGGCTTCGGTTTCGGCTTATAGGGCTTCGGCTTAGGTGAGATTCTTCAGCCATAATACAGGGTGTCCCAAAAAAAAAGACCCCCCCCAAAAATTTGAGCCAGAGGACACCTACGGAGCTGAAAATTTGCACAGAGGTAGCGAAGGCAATTTTCTATGAACAAGGAAAGTTTCAGCCCGATCGGCCAGCGGGTTTTAAAGTTATAGCGAAAATACTTTTCATTTTTAATTTAATATGGGGATCTTTGAAATTTGCATCAAAGATATGCATTATTCTTGCATTTACGAGCCGCATTTGCATAAATTTGCCGGAAAAATGCCATTTTCTTGATGGAGCTTTTGGAAAACGATTGCGTATGAAGAATAAAAAGAGTGATAAAACAACAGTTTTATCGATCCAAATCACGTCTTATTGTACATATTGGCAATTTGAGCTTCGTCGGCGCGAAAACAGAGTTCGACGAGCTCGAAACCAGTGTTGAAGTTTAGATTTGGGTCTATGTTGGCGCGTACGCTGAAGTTTAAGCCAAGCTCAGGCGTTCAACGATTGTTTCCGCGATGAGGTCTGGTATTCATCGTTCTTGCTGATCATTTTCTCGCTACATGAGCAATCGTTTTCCAAAAGCACCATCAAGAAAATGGCATTTTTCCGGCAAATTTATGCAAATGCGGCTCGTAAATGCAAGAATAATGCATATCTTTGATGCAAATTTCAAAGATCCCCATATTAAATTAAAAATGAAAAGTATTTTCGCTATAACTTTAAAACCCGCTGGCCGATCGGGCTGAAACTTTCCTTGTTCATAGAAAATTGCCTTCGCTACCTCTGTGCAAATTTTCAGCTCCGTAGGTGTCCTCTGGCTCAAATTTTTGGGGGGGTCTTTTTTTTTGGGACACCCTGTATTTAGTGCCACCTTCGAAGTCCCGTTTTCCATGCAAATCGACATGAAATGTAGGCTGCCGAAGCGGCATGCTGGTCAGCTGCGCGACGGCAAGAAGGTAAGATGATTCAGCTTACGTTGGGTTCGACTTTGCTTTGCTTAGGCTCGACTTGGACCCATTTTTAGCCAATCACCATCAAGGGATTCGTTCGATTCGATGGTGCTACAAGGCAAAGAGTCGAATATTTGTTGCTGCATTGTGATACAGTGGTATTTCAAATAGGGTTACGGCAGTTAGCGCAAATTTTAGGAAACGGTCGGCGATCCGGAAATGCTCCTAGATAATCACAGCTTTGTGATGCGGTTGGATCAGAGTTTCAGGGTGATATTTATGGAAACGAGGTAATCGGAGAGTCGAGTTTTTGGAGCACTTTTTAGGGGTTTTGACGTGCTACGGTATCCTGGGGGCGCGTTATTGGACCGTTCCATCTATGAACTAATCCCACCCGAAGATGTGCCACCGATTGAAAAAGCGCATCGAATGTGTGAGTGGAGCAGTAGAACCGAGGGAAAAGAGAGAGAGAAAGAGAGCGAGAGAGACAGAGAGAGAGAGAGAGAGCAAGAATATGACGAAAAAGCTGATTATGATAGTTTTTAGTATTGGCGGGCCAAGTGCACGTCAATAGCCTCCTGATCGGGCTGCTGACGGCTGGCGGCGGCCAATGCTACGTCGACATACGCTTCTACGCTCACGGGGACCCGAATAGGACCCCGTTTACAGCGATTTGTAGCGTTGTTGGGTAAGTTGAGGTCAGGGCATGCTAGCAGAGATCATTTGGGAAATCGTAACAGAAAAACAGCAACATATTTAAGAAAATCGAGCAGAAAAAGAAAAAAGAGAGTGAGAAAAAGAGTGAGAGAGAACGAGGGAGAGAGATAGAGAGAGAGAGAGCTAGAGAGAGCAATTTGCACGTGCATGAGCAGGCAGGCTAGCGGAGACCATTTGGGAAATTTTTTTGAGCGACACATAGCCGAAATTCATGAGGAAATGAAAAAGAGCATTTAAAAATTTTCTAGACGCGTTTTAAAATTTGCTAAATACTTTCAAGGTATTACAAAATTTTGCTTTTTCAGATACCACGCCCAATCTACCGTATCCACGCTTCAAAGCTCCTTGAATTATTGGCCGGAAGCGGAAGAAAAGAACCAGCTCGGCTGCTACTCTTCTCAGTATTATGCCAAAACGTTTGGCCCGATTTTTTGAGGGTTTTTGCTTGCTTTAAACTTTAAGACTTTGTAAAATACTTAATTTTGGCATTTTTGGACGTAAAAATTACAAAAATTTTAAATATACAATTATATTCCCACCTGATTTGTCATTGCCGAGTAGACGCCCAGAAATATAAGGTACCAGTGGAAAAAGGCCCAGTTGTGCAACTAAAATTTATAATTTAATTTATAATGGTTGTGATGATCTTTTATCATCAGATTGTCAATATTCATAAAAATTCTCGTTTTTGAATATTTTTAATAGGCACAATTAGAATATAAAAGCGACTCACATCCTCGGCGCTGTACGTCAAATGCTGGTAGAGCATGTGAGCCAGGTTGGGGATGCACACCAGGAAATTGTCGCCGTTGCACTAAAAAACAACTATAAAATTGACACTCCTAAAGGATTTCTGCGAGCCTGTCCTTCCTAAAAAATCTCTACTAGCTTGCCCTTTCCTAAAAGATCGTTGCTAGCCTGACCTTTCCTAAAGAATCTCGGATAGTTGTCATTTCCTAAAGAATATCTACTAGTTGCCCTTTCCTAAAAAATCCCTGTTAGCCATGATTTTTCCTAAGGAATCTCGGCTGGCCTGCCGTTTCATAAAGAATCTCTGCTAGCCCGCCCTCTCCTAAAGAATCTCATGAACTGTAAGCTGACCTCAATGAAGTCGTGCCTGGTGATGGCCGTCGGGTCAACGTGGTGCTCCCGAAATGGGCGGATAAAGCTCTAAATCCATGTTTCTTCTCGATTTCCATATTTCCTACCCTCCCGATGAGCGTCTCCACACTACCGAACGTGTCCGCGCCCCAGTGCACCAGTCCGGAGACGAAATCTGAAATTTTTGGATCAAAACATCAAAAATAAAAAATGTCGGTGTTGGACGGGATTGAACCCGGACCCTACGGGCGAGAGACTGGCCCACTACCAATATACCAAAAGAGAATTGGGAAACAGAGGGAAATTTGGGGGTACAAACCTGCGGTGAGGATACCCAGTAGTGCCGCTATGGGCATCGTCATCCAATAGTCGACTCGCCAGGTAGATAGGAGACGGACTAGCATTAAAGAGAACAATATCGTGCCAACCACGACTGATATGGCTTCTTGTCGTCGTTTTTCTGCAAGGCGAAGGCTAGCAGAGATCCTTACGGATTTATGCGGAATGTAAAATTGTTTCAAGATAACTCTATCTCTCTCGCTCGCTCTCTCACTCTCGCTAACTCTTCCTCACTCTCCTTCTCTCGTTCGCTACAACTCTCTCTCTCTTCCGCGCGCTCTTTCTCTCTCTGCCTGTCTTTCCCTCTCTCGCTCTTTCTCTTTCTCCTTCTCTCGTTCTCTATTACTCTCTCTTCCGCGTGCTCTCTCTCTCTCTCTCTCTCTCTCTCTCACTACACACCTTTGCTATACATTCCAGCCAGCTGCTTCGCGCCGGCATGTTGCGGGCCCCATCTGGAAGAATCGTGTACTGATTAATGATTTTGGGACAAATTTGTTACCTGGGGGCAGCGGCTCCCATCTGGACATTCACATTGCCATTTGGGTCATCTTCTGGCATAGCATCCACTAGTTCACTGGAAAAATGTCACAAATTATTGGCGCTGCTGAAGCCTTTAAACGTACGAATACTTTGGGGGAGGCTAGCAGAGGTCATTTAGGACGAAATTTTATCTTGGTTAAGCCAGCAACGGCTATTGGGGAATGTGAGCGTAGAGATCGCACGCCGGGCAAGCTATCAGCGACCCATTGGGAGCGGGATAACTGGCAGCGAACCTTTTGGAAAGTGAGATTTCTGCTAGGAGAGGCTAGCAGAGACCACTGGGGGAAAGGCAAACTAGTGGAGAACTTTTAGGAGGCCAAAGTTTTTGGGTAGGCTAGCAGAAACCTTGGGGGAAGGCAAGGTGGCTTTGGTATGCCAAGCAACCGAGCAGAGACCCTTGAGACGCCAAGTTTTGGCACCGCAGGCTTGCAGAGAAGAGTAGGGAATAGAAAATGGTTATTTTAGAGGCAGGCAAAATAGCAGAGCCCATTTGCGGAAGGAAAACAATGGTACCAACCTGGTCTGGCTGCACTCGGGCATCGCACCGCTAAACGAGGGCCCGTCGAGGATCATCTGAAACGGGAAGTGTTAACGGGCTATATGACCTAAGAAGACAGAGAGATAGAGAGAGAGAGAGAGAGAGACATAGAGACAGAGAGAGAACGATACATCGTTTTCTGCCCCGATTTTCCGGGGCCCTGAAAAGGGCATAGTGGCGGTGGGGAGGTATAAGTGGTAGAGCCCCATTCCCGGATTTGCATAAAATGAGAGAGAGCGAGAGATAGAGAGCGAGAGTGGGAAGGTGAGAGTAGAAAGAAGCACATAAAAGGAGGGAAAAGCCACACAAAAACAACCGCCCCACAGCGAACACTTACGATACAAAACAAACGGGGGCGAAGTGTTGGGCGTGAAAAAGTGGGGAAAAGCCTAGAAAAATCTAGTTAAACAAATTAGTTTAAATCGAGTATTTACATTGCGTAACCGAGTGATGGAGGTTTAAAGACGTTTTGAAAAATAGATTAAACTAAACATGGCTTGAAAGAGAGTATGACTCCCAAAATAAGCCACGCCCACAAGCCCCACCCACTTTAAAGGGGCTTTGAAGCCGAAACACGTTCTAAGGGGAGCGTGATCGCCAGATGAAGCTACTCTCGCAAACCGCGCCGAGGTTGAAATAAAGTTGTAAGGGGAATGTGACACCTAGTCTGAGTCACTCCCACAATCATAGTATTTTAAAAGGTACCGGAAAGTCTTATATATCGCTTTAAAGGGAGTGTGACAGCTAGTCTAAGCCACTCCGATAAGCTAGATATACCTCAAAGTCTAAATATAACTTTAAAGGCAGTGTAACATCCAGTGAATCAAGAGAAATCCAAAAATGCCGTGCAAAATTTGAATTCTATGCTGGTCTAAAAGCACGCTCACCGCACGGGACTACATGATCTTTTAATCCGAATATTCGGGCATCTCCATTTTAGGGCGGAGGAGAGAGGGCCACAATGGGGTGGAGAGGGAGAGGGAGACCCATTGAAGAGGAGACCCACACACACCATATACGCAATACAACCCCTATCCAAAATAGCTATTCAACAAGGGGGGTATGCAAACGGTATTGCCCCGGTATACGACACACATACACACGTGCGGTCAAAGGACCCAAAAAAGAAAACCAGAAATCAGCGGCGAGTTCAAGAAGTACTCGGGGGAAAAATGGGTAGTTTAAAGGGACGTTAAAGGAAGCGGAAGAGCGAAGAGTTTTAAGGTTTAAAAATTGGTATAAAATCTGTTTAATTTGCCAATTACTAAAAAACGAAAATTTCAAATATGCCACGATTTCCTAGCGTAAATGGTTCCCCTTCTGTCGAGTTTCAGGGCGTAATCGGATCCGCTTTTCGCCGATTTTCCCCCGCCTAACCGATTTCACTTTTTCGATTTCAAGCGCGTAATCGGTTCGTTGTTGCCGATTTTCAACGGCTATTCGGTTTCCCTTTTGCCGAATTTCAAAGCGTAATCGTTTCTTTTTTCTGGATTTTCAAGCGTAATCGTCAAAATCGCGAAAAAATTCAAAACTGACTAAAAGTCTGTGGATTCAGCAAGAAAAACCTAAGTCCACAAAAATGACAAAAACCTGCTGGTTTTTTAAACGGAAAATTACGGAAAAATCAATGACAAAAAGGACGTTTTGGGCAGCAAAAACACGGGATAAATTAAATTTTGAAAAAACGGCAGAAATTTGCGTATTAATTTGAGTTTTGAAACACAAATTTTGAGTTTTGAAACAATGAAAACATGGAATATAGAAAGATGCTTCGGAAAAACAAGATGCGAAATAGCTACCGTATTCAGAGGTTTGTGTCAGTGTAGTATGATGGTGTGTTAGTACGGCCCCCTATTGTCTGTCAAAGCCACGGGATTGCCTGGACCAGCACCCAGCAACCATCCATCCATTAGCAGACAAGCCCTCTCCCCGTGAAAAGACACTATTTATACGTTAAATGGCCCGGGTGTGTCAGTTGTAATGGCGTGGAAAACAGAGAACAGCCTCGGCTTGCGAATTGGATTTTGATGTCGAGCCCGAAAAATCTGGGTTTAATCGGTTACGCGATACAATTTTGGAATCTAGCAGAGATTCGAAAGTGCGAAATTTTTCTAGCTTTGGCAATCTAGCAGAGATCTTTTAGGAGACCAGAGCTCAAATTCAAGATCTTGGCAAGCCAGCTGAGAGTCTTTGAGACCTCTGATGATTTTTAGGGGAAGGCTAGCAGAGATTTTTCAGGGAAGGGCAGACTAGCAGATTGGGAACGACTAAATAGCACAGATTTTTTAGAAAGGATAGGCTAGCACAGTTTTTTAGGAAACGGCAGGCTAGCAGAGATTCTATAGGGAAAAGCAGGCTAGCAGAGATTCTTTAGATCCCTGATCCGGATTTCAAGGCATCGGCAATCGAGTAGAGTGTGTTGGTGGGGCCCATTTCCTCTAACTGGATCCTCCCCCTTGCTGTCCCCCATTGCCAAACGTCTTCTAATTAGGGGTGGGGGCACGGATGGAGAGAGAAAGAGAGAGAGAGAGAGAGAGAGAGAGAGAGAGACGAAGCTAATCCCCCTAGCCATCTCACTTCTTCAGGATGCACTTCCTGGGGCAAGTCGGCTTCTCCTCTTTGGCCATCCCCCAGCCGATGTTGAAATGCGAAACAGGTGGAGGAAAAGAGACCCCGAATGGACCTCGCGATTCGATTAGGGGAAGGGGAACTCCCGGTAGACACACGCTCTCTTTTCTTCCGCTATGTCTGGGGCATCCTGGGAAACTAGAGAAGCTTGGTCTGGGTGTTTTTGGCAAAGAATCTCTGCTAGTTTGCCTTCAGCCGTCGGGTCAAGTTTGAAAATTCCAATTCCGCAAAGAATCTCTGCTATCTATCTACCCTGAAAATTGAGTTCCTGAAGAAGTGGTGCTAAGAATCTCTGCAAGATCGCCCTAAAACCTGAATCTTCAGGAATCTCTCAAAGAATCTCTGCTATATTGCCCTTCCAAGCTGCAGACTTCCGCAAAGAATCACTGCAACTTTACCTACATCAAAAGTCAACAAAAATCCCAATCACGGCCACAAATAAAAGTGCAATTTCCGAGGCACGTGGCGACCGAGAAAGAGCGATAGATAGATAGAGGGAGAGAGAGAACAAGAAAGAAAGAGAGTGATAGAAATTCAGAGAGGCATAGAAAATGAGGTGAGCACGAGAATGAGAATACTGAGATTCCGTGCATTCTTCATCTCTGGCTGTATGTTGCCCTTTGCCCTGATCTGATCACAAAAAGGGGGGAGGATGATGAGCCATTGAGGAGGAGGAGTCTTGGAAAAGAAGTGAGCAAGAGAGAAAGAGAGAATGAGGGGAGGGAGGGCAACAAATAAAAACAATGGCGGGTGCACATTCGCTCTCCTCCTCCCCCTCCGATCCATCCCATTCACTGATCAATCGAGAGGCCATGTTGCTACAAAAAGCTCAAGAGCTCTCGGAGTCGGAGCTCGGAATCCAAAAAAAGCAAATAATGAATGAAATGGACTAAATGGATTTAGGGGAGCAAAAAGCAAACAAAAAATTGTTGCGGAAGGGTTTCGAACTCTTGACCCTGACTGGCATAAACTTAGGTTATTTAGGCTTAGGCCTGGGCTTGGACTTAGGTTTGAGCTTTGGCTTAGTGTTGGCTTAGGCTTGGCTTAGACTTGGCTTAGGCTTGACTTAGGTTTGAGCTTTGGCTTAGTGTTGGCTTAGGCTTGGCTTAGGCTTGGGTTAGGCTTACCTTATGCTTAGCTTAAGGCTTAGGCTTGGGAATGGGCTTAGGCTTAGACTTAGGCCTAAGCTTTCTGCTGAGAAGCAGCTTTTTGAAACATTTTTAAAACATAAAAAGTGCGTTTTTAGCGAAGCAGTTGTATTTCCAACGGCCGTTAAACCATACGCGTCTAAGAACCCGGGTGATGACAACGAAAAATAGATGCGGGTGTGTTGCGCGTATCCTCAAATAGATCCACAGCTCTTCCGAGGCCCTGGTGAGCTCACAAAATCCGTGTACCCAACAAATCAACAAGGGACCACGCGCCGGTCAGTTGCAGCAAGGAGTCTAACGGAATGGAAAAAATTAGTCGCTTAGGCTTAGCTTAGGCTTCGCTTGGGCTTTGTTAGGCTTATGCTCAGACTTAGGCATAAGCCGATGACATCCGCATCAAGTAGTGTCCACAAAGCTCCAATATCCCACAAAAACAAAGGGCACTCTTCTAGCCATCCCCGACACTCGTCGTTAGTAACGTGGCGGAATTTGACACGTCGTACCCTCTTCTCGTGTGGTGTAGGTAGGAGGTGTGGTGTAGCTGGGTAACGCCTTACGAGACCGGCAACCAAATAAGTGAAGCGTCACATTTCACGGCATGTACCCGGGCAGAGGGCATAGCATTCGGGGGAGCAAGACTTGCTTTGAGGTTTGGAGGAGGCCGATTGTTTATAGAATTCAAGCGGAACAAGCTATATGCTAGGGCTTTACAAGAGAGGCAGGCTAGCATAGATCCTTTAGGAACGGGAGGCCAGCAGAGATTCTTAAGGAAAAAATTAGGCTAACAGAAATTAAGGGGAAAAGACAGTCTAGCGAAATTTTTTAGGAAAACAGTAGGATAGCAGAGATTCTTTTGGAAGGGGCAGGCTAGCAGGGATCCTTTAGGAAAAGGCACACTAGCAGAGATCCTTTGGGAAAGATGCCCAGAATCCTCAAAAGGGCAAAAAATACATGCCATGGTGAAATTTGCAATTTCGCGCCAGACACCCAGAAACTGAAAATTATGGAATTGGAACGGGAGGAGGATGGGTGCGGAATGTTGATATTTCGGTGTTTGCCCCCGGGGGAGGGCAAATAATGAGCCGGGGAGGACCCAGAGGAGGGGGAGGGCAGGCTAGCAGAGGTTCTTTGAGGAAAAGCAGGTTGGGAGGGATTATTGAGGAAAGGGCATGCTGGCAGAATTCTTTAGGAACAGGCAAGTAGCAAAGATCCTTGAGGAAAGGTAAGCCAGCAGAAATTCTTTCGGAAAAGGCAAGCTAGCAGAGATTCCTTTGGAAGCAAAACCTAGCAAAAATTCTTAAAGAAAGGGCAAGCTAGCTGGGATTCTTTAGGAAAAGGCAAGATAGCAGAGATCACTAAGGAAAGGCAGTCTAGCAGAGGTTATTTTGGGAAAGCCAATCTATCAGAAATTATTTAGGAAACCAACGCCAGACACTAGCTTCTCATCCGCTTCTCCATCAAATTCCCCCACCCCCACCCCGCATTCCAGGAATTTTGCCAATTGGTATTCAGCCCATCTTGGCCAGGACCACATTCCGCCCATTTCCCGGGATGTAATTAGTCAAAAGATGGAAAACAGAAGCCTCCGTCTAGCCAGATGCTCTTCTTGATCCCCCGGAAGGGGTCGAAATTTCGAAATATGGAGTTAGAATTTCGTAAATGGCTTCTTCCTAAAAAACCTTTGCTAGCCTGCCCTTTCATAAAGAATCTTTGCTAGAGTACCCCGGCAAAACAGGCTGTAAGGACAAGATGGTAGGCCGAGAAGCTTTAGGAAATGAAACAACCCTTTCCTTCCACTCCAAAATTCCAATCAGCACCTAAAAACAGAACTTTCTCGAATTGGTCTTGTTTTTATGACTTGCAAGGGCTCTGGAGACACCCTCATGCTCCTTTATGTTACTCATTACGGCGATTGGGTTGCACTTTAGAATTCTATTCGTGAAGTAGTTGAATGTTCTGTGCTTTGAGGTATGATATAGAATGAAATGAAATTGTCATACAGGGCAGGCTAGCAGCGATCCTTCCAGAACGGATAGGCTAGCAAAGGTTCTTTACGGAAGGGCAGGCTAGCAGAGTTCATTTAGGAAGGGCAGTTTAGTAGAAATTCGAAAGAAATGGCCGGTTGCAGAGATTCCTTAAGGAAAGGGTAGGCTAGCAGAGTTCCTTTAGGAAAGGCTGGCTAGCAGCAATTATTTAGGAAAAGACAGGCCAGCGATTTATTTGGAAATGGCGGGCTAGCAGAGATTCTTTAGGAAAAAACATGCTAAAAAAGGTGCTAAAGAAGACATACTGGCAGAGTTTCTTTAGGAAGTGATAACCAGCAGCAACTCTTTGACGGACTCCCAGAGAGTGTAAAATGACACAAAAAGAATCATGCCAAGGCGAACGGGCCGAAGGAGCAATTTGTCGGAGGCATGGCCCGGGTGCTCATGGGAAAGTTGGAGGATGTGGAGGATGATATTTTGAGGCTGAGGTGGAGAAAGAGAATGGCCTCAGGGACAGTTGGTAGGAGGGGAGACGACAACTGACAGGAGAGAGAGTGAGAGAGAGAGAGAGAGAGAGAACAAAGGGCCCAGTTTGTAAGGCCAAAGCCATGCCTGGCCCACGTGAAGAATTCGATCGGGATCTGGGAAATCAAGGCAGTGGGCAGGCTAGCGGAGGTTGTTGAGGAAGTCGGGCGAGCTGGCGGAGATTCTTTAGGAAGAAAAAATGGCAAAAAACCAGCTAGCGGAGAACGTTTGGGAAAAAACTGCCGGGCAGGCTAGCAGAGATCCTTTAGGAAAGTCCCAATTCCGTTTCTGAACCCTCGACAAATTAACAAAGATCATTTGGCATCAATACCCGGCCCCCCTAAAAACAGACGTAAACACGAAAACAAAGAGTAATGACGCGGAAAAACGGGCGGGTGCGGGGTGCAAAAAGGAGGCGAGGGAGGGGACCGTATCAGCCGAACCCTCAGGAAGAAGAAGCCTTCTTGTTGCTGCTTCTTCCGATTGATCTCCCCCACGCATAGATTCTGGAATAATGGGCGGAAGGAGGGTGGAGATAAGAGAGAGAGAGAGAGAGAGAGAGAGAGAGAGAGAGAGACGATGCAACATGAGAGTTTTGCGAAATCATGATTTTCTGAAAAACGCAAAAAATTCATCAAGGATCTTTCCTCAATAAAACCTGGAGGTTGCCCAAAAATAATTTTTAGGAAATTCCGTAAATTCCCTAATAATCTCTGCTAGATTGCCTCAATTCCCTAATAATCTCATCTATCCTGACATTTCAATCATCTCTGCTAGTCAGCTCGTTTACCAAGTTTCCAAAATTTACAATAGTGCCGGTTACGGTATCCTGGGGGCATCTTTTAATTTCTCAACCCTTCCATTCTTCAATCTCGGATCACGACCGATTGAATTGAGGCTCAAAGTGCGGCGACCTCCGCGGCCCATCACTCCGTTTTGCACGAATTTATCGCCCTCGCCTTTCAGCACCCCAATAAATATAAAAAAGGGCGCGTCATAGGGAGAAGGACAAGAGGGATGGCCAGGCATGGCCGGAAGAAATGCTGACGGACAGCGAACACAGCTTTTGGGCCGATTTGCCTTTGAACTGTTGGCACGGGTGGGGAGATATCTGTCCAAAATTCTTCAGATGCAACAGATAATTAAATAAGTAATTAAAAAATTGTAAAACAGTTTTTTAAAAACTCACCCGGAGCCTGCCGACTCCGCAAAGAATTTTTGCTAGCCTGCCCTCTCCTAAAGATCCAACGCCAGCTTGTCGTCTCGTAAAATCACTGCTATTGCTTGTTCCTAAGAATCTCTGCTAGCCTGCTTTCCCTAAAAAAGCTTCGCTAGTATGCTTTTCCTAAAAAAATGCCCTCTCATAAAGAATCTCTGCTAACCTGCCTTTTTCCGAGAGAGAGAGAGAGAGAGAGAGAGAGAGAGAGAGAGAGAGAGAGAGAGAGAGAGAGAGAGAGAGAGGGTGACTCTGCAGCCTGCTCTGATTCATATAGAATCTAACAAACTTGGTATTAGTAAACTTTCCAAAATCATTTATGCGTATTTAAAGGAACCACAAATTCTGGAAAACGAAGTTATAAAAATACGGAAAGAAGGGGTAATAATAGAAAATGGCAACACCGCCGAGGTGTCCCCAGTGTATATCCATACACAGACACACATTTTTGGACCCAATTCCATTAGAGGAGGAGGGAGGCATTGAGGCCTCTCTCTCTCTCTCTCTCTCTCTCTCTCGCTTTCTCGCCATCCAAAGCCACCCGAGCCGTTGAGCTGAACCTATTGCCTGGGAATTTCGGGGGTGAAAATGGTTTAAATTCGGCTCTTACACTTTGAAATCGACACGTTGGATTTGAAATGTTTCAGTTTCGGCGCTTTGAAACGAAAGCTATAGAATGGGATTTTAGAATCAAATTTCGTGTGAACTTTGAGGTTTTGGAAGACGTGCGATTTCTGGTTCATCCATTCTACGTGAAACTTCTTTATTTCCTAAAAGTTCTCCGCTAGCTGACTTTCCTCAAGAATCTCTGCCAGCCTGCCTTTTCCTTAAGAATCCCTGCTAGCCTGCCTTTTTCTTAAAAAAATCCCTGCTAGTTTGCCCTTCCCTAAACCATCGCTGCTAGCCTCCCTGCCCTCGGTAACCCTGCTAATCTGCCGCTTCCTAAACGATTTTTGCTAGCCTCCACTTCCTAAAGAACCTCTGCTAGCCTGTCCCTTCCTAAAAAATATCTGTTAGCCTCTATTTCCTTAAGAATGTCTGTCAGTCTCCCACTTCCTAAACGATGTTTGCTAGAATTTCTTTTAATTAAGAACTTCTGCTAGCCTCCCTGGTCTGCATTTTTCCATGTCCCCTTTTACAGATTTTTATCCATTTAAAATCAGAATCAATCGATATCCTATTGGGCCATTCCACGTAGCTTCTATGAACAGCACTCCCCGATGCGCTCGTGATCCTTGGTGTTGATCAACGGGCCGATGAATAGGAAAGCTACCGTATGACCCAGGACGACTGAAAAAAAATCGTGTTTGGAGTCTTCTAAAAATTACCTGAAGCCACCAATGGTACATTATACGTCATGGAAACCATCATAAGGGAATAGCCGAGAAAAGCCTGGAAATGGGAGCATTAAGGAAAGCTTTAAAACACCGAAGGCTCAAATTTTGCCTTCTTAGTCCCTTTAATGGTACGATGAAAATGCCTTAAATGCTTTAATATACGCGTTATGGCATGAAAAGTATTCACTTGAAAAACCATGGTCAATGAGTTGATGACGTGCCGCCCGTCGCCGAATATCTTTTTGCTGAACTATGATCTTCAAGAAACAGGCAAGCCGAGCACTCACTAGTTAATAGTATCCTGGCGTACAAGTTGGGCTGTCGAGCGATCCGAACCGCTTGCCGTCGCCGTGTCGCACGGGCAATTCAGCAGCGAGGTCGTGCACGCGCACTAAAAAGCAGTTGGGCTCAATTTATTCAAAAGGTTCGTCTATGCGTAAGTTTCTCTAAAACGAATAGAAACGATGTGAAAGCGTACATCTGCGTCGACCTCTTTCCCCAGCGCCAACCGCCCAAGCTTCAAAAACTCGAAAAATACAGCCATCGCCCCGACGGCCAGACAGGAGAAGACATAGCCTAAAAATTGGAGATTTTGCCTTGCCAACCCCTTTAAACGAAGGGAAAATCAGGATTTGCTGCTTTTCATTTTCTCGATAATTTTTATTTCGGTTGCGTAATTGATTACGGCACATTTAACGAGGTGAAACCGCTTGCGCTTTGCCTGTCGCGAGCGAATCAGACCTTGAGGAAGGCGCTCTTATGGATTCCGTAGCGCAACGTGCTCCCGCCTTTTCATCGCATCGCCCGCCGCGGGCTAGATAGAATTTGTGAATAGGGTTCGGATGAATTCTGCCGCACAGCGACACGCAACGCGTACGCTTGAATTCCTATTGCGCAAACGATTACGACACCTTGGCAAGGTGAAGCAGCTAGCGCCTGGCGTGTCGCGGGCGAGTCAAATTCTGTGGGTGCACCTAGATACTGCCGCGCTGCGACACGTGAGGCGCCCGCCCGCCGATCCACGCAAATAGCTACGACACTTATCGAGGGCGTGCTGTCGCGGACTATTCACGACGCCCCCGCTTGCGACAGGTTTATTGAGGCGAAGGCAGGCGCGTTGCATGTCGCGGTGACTTTGAAGTTTTGGTTAGAGAGGTCTGGTTGTTGCTGCGCCGCGACACGTTTCGTTGATTCACGTTTGATTGCGTAATCGGTTACGACATCTTTACGCCGCTAGATGGGTCGCGTATCGCGGCAAAATCCATAGCCCTCTTTAAAACGCACCTGTCGTATTCCCAGGTACCCACTGCTCGAAAAGGATCGGGTCCCCAATCCGGAAATGGAAGTACATCGTCATCATCATCATTCTGAAGGTTTTGTAGTTTGTAGTCAAAATTCGCAGCTGCTTCTATAGATAAATTTGATAAAAAGCCAGTGACAACCAGCAGAGATTCCTAGAGAATTGACCTCGTCAAATCTCTATACACCAAAATATGCATTAAACGATTTATTTTATGACCCGTGAGAAGCGGAAAGTAATGAAAAGTTGGAAAAAGAAGAATATAGTGGGATCCTAATGTTTTTGAGGCTTTCGAGCCGGAATTCCGCGCCATTCCTATCCACAGCACTCCTCGCCTGGCCGCGAACGATTAGGGAGTACGGGTCGGCTGCCGAAGAAGTAGAACCCGATCCCGGAGCCTGGAAATGGGTTTTTAGGGCTAGGGTCAGGGTTAGGTTTGGTTTCATTTAGGCTTGGCCTTGGTGAGACTTAGACTTAGCATGGGCTTTACTTGGGCTGCGCTTGGTTTTCAGGCTAGGCTTGTCTTAGGCTCGGCCTAGGCTTAGCTTATGCTTAGACTTAGGCTCAAGCTTAGGCATAGGCTTAATCCTAGGTTTAGGCTTGGCGGAGTCTTAGCTTAGGCTTGGCTTAAGCTTAGCCTAAAGCTAATTTGACCAAGGCTTAGCTTAGGCCTAGCTTCGCCCGGTTTTCCAAGCTCCTGACTTACCGATGGCAATCGCCAGCCCAACCCAGATCGAGAACGTCATAAACGCCAACATCAACAAGTAGCCGAGGGTGATTTGGATGAAAAAGAGGAGCACCTGAAACAAGGATGCTTGTCCCGCCAAGACCTGAAAAAAATCGACAGTTCGCATAAATTACCGGAATCTTTCAAAAACCAAACCTGAACCAAGTGGGCGTGGTGAAATAGTCTGCCGATATATGTTTCAGGCCTGAAATTGATTAAATCTTCGATAAATCGCGACTTACAGCTTTCCATCCCAGTGCTGCTCGGCCCTCCACCGTGCCCATTTTAGAGCCTCAAGGCCGATGGCCAGGAAGAGGAGGATGAAACACGAGTACACCATTTCTAAAAGCATAGCAACACCGTAAATCTATTCGTAATTGATAAACGGTAAAATTCTAAAAGGTGATGTAAGAAAAAAGTGAATCGCGATTCCAGCCAAAATCCCGACAGCTAAAAACCCCGAACAAAATATCGACAGAAGGCATCACGACCGGCCACAATACGCAGCCCAAATCCCGACAGCAAAAATCCCGACAGTCAAAATGCCGACAGGACCAAATCCAAACAGCCAAAATCTCGATGGCGAAATGCCGACAGCCTAGAATCCCGACAGCCGAAATCCCGACAAGAAAAACCACGAAGGTCAAAATACCGACAACAAAAATACCGACATTTTCTTGTGTATAGTTTGACACCCACTTACTTTTCAGCAGCTATTTTGGCTGTCGGGATTCTGGCTGTCGGGATTTTGACTTGTCGGGATTATTGCTGTCGAGATTTTAGCATGTCGGCATTTTGGATATCGGGCATTTTGGCTTTCGAGATTAGGGCTTTCGAGATGAGGAGAGAGAGAGAGATAGAGAGAGAAAGAGAGAGAGAGAGTGTTAAAGAGAGAGAGAGCGAGAGAGAGAAACGGCAGCGAAAGTCTTCCTGATAGAGACCTTTAGACCCCAGAATCTCACCACCAGCCGTGTTGACCGTCCAAAAATCGAAAGAGAATCGTGTCCTCGACATGGGTGTGGAACCACATCCACATTTTGTGCATCTTCATCGGCACTAAAGAAATTATACTGATTTAATAATATTTATTAAATTACTTTTCATAGTAGACCCGGTCATATCCATGGTCATGTCCATGCCCACCGGCGTCGTCGCCACGTCCTCCATTTTTCTGAAAAATGGGGTGATTAGACTTGAAAAGTTCACAACAAATTTAGTAGTTGAATTGCTTGATTAAAAGGGTATCAAATTCCCATAATTGGCTTAGGCTTAGGCTTGGGCTTAGGCTTGGGCTTAGGCTTTGGGCTTTGGCTATAGGCTTAGGCTTCGGACTTAGGCTTAAGCTTAGACTCAGGCTTTGTTAGCCTTTGTTATAGAGTTTTTCAAAAAACTGGTCAAGGTCAAGTTCAAAAACTTGAGCATTCCCGCGCGATGAGACGCTTTTACATTACGTAATCGATTAGCCTCTTGTTCAAACTACAAAAGGCTACCGCGGCGCAATCAATCGAAAATTTCTAGCCACAAAATCCATATTTGAAGTTCGTTTCACAGGGGCAGAAAGGCGAGGTCGAAGCTCGAAAAGCAGCGTTCAGCTACGTAATGCACCCATAGACGGACGGGCGGAGAAAGGCAGACAGGGGAAGCCAATAAGGCCTTTTTGATGATGGGAAGAAGATCCCCACTCTGCCCACACACTCTCACACAAAAAGACAAATGATAAGGAGCCACCCAGAGCATCTACCCCAAACCGAATTTTGATAAGAACAAAAAGGGGCTTGGGATGTCCGGGGCCATGTTTTGAATGTACCGAATCACATTACAGAGCGTGCGGCAAGACAGCAGAGATCCTTAGGGAGGTCAGTGAATTGGCTAGCTAGCAGAGATCATTGGCCACGCGGCGAAAGGACACGAAAACGAGCGCCCAAGCCTAAGCCAAGTGTAAGCAAGCCAATGAAGCGAAGCCTCCATCAAAATCAGGCGCAAAGCTAGAGCTAAGCCTAAGCGAAGTCTCCGAAGCCAAGCCCACTAGGCTAAGCCTACAAAGCCAAGGTCGTCTCATCACTTCGAAGTCTCTTCTCATCACTTCCAAGTGATGTGATGTGGTTTTTCGAGCCCATCTCATCACTTTGAAGCCTCATCACATCACTTCGAAGCCTCTTCTCATCACTTCCAAGTGATGTGATGTGGTTTTTCGAGCCCATCTCATCACTTTGAAGCCTCTTCTCATCACTTCCAAGTCCTCTTCTCATCACTTCCAAGTGATGTGATGTGGTTTTTCGAGCTCATCCCATCACTTTGAAGCCTCATCACATCACTTCGAAGCCTCTTCTCATCACTTCCAAGTGATGTGATGTGGTTTTTCGAGCTCATCCGATCACTTTGAAGCCTCATCACATCACTTCGAAGCCTCTTCTCATCACTTCCAAGTGATGTGATGTGGTTTTTCGAGCCCATCTCATCACTTTGAAGCCTCATCACATCACTTCGAAGCCTCTTCTCATCACTTCCAAGTGATGTGATGTGGTTTTTCGAGCTCATCCCATCACTTTGAAGCCTCATCACATCACTTCGAAGCCTCTTCTCATCACTTCCAAGTGATGTGATGTGGTTTTTCGAGCCCATCTCATCACTTTGAAGCCTCATCACATCACTTCGAAGCCTCTTCTCATCACTTCCAAGTGATGTGATGTGGTTTTTCGAGCTCATCCGATCACTTTGAAGCCTCATCACATCACTTCGAAGCCTCTTCTCATCACTTCCAAGTGATGTGATGTGGTTTTTCGAGCTCATCCGATCACTTTGAAGCCTCTTCTCATCACTTCCAAGTCCTCTTCTCATCACTTCCAAGTGATGTGATGTGGTTTTTCGAGCCCATCTCATCACTTTGAAGCCTCTTCTCATCACTTCGAAGCCTCTTCTCATCACTTCCAAGTGATGTGATGTGGTTTTTCGAGCCCATCTCATCACTTTGAAGCCTCTTCTCATCACTTTGAAGCCTCTTCTCATCACTTCCAAGTCCTCTTCTCATCACTTCCAAGTGATGTGATGTGGTTTTTCGAGCCCATCTCATCACTTTGAAGCCTCTTCTACATCACTTCGAAGCCTCTTCTCATCACTTCCAAGTGATGTGATGTGGTTTTTCGAGCCCATCTCATCACTTTGAAGCCTCATCACATCACTTCGAAGCCTCTTCTCATCACTTCCAAGTGATGTGATGTGGTTTTTCGAGCTCATCCGATCACTTTGAAGCCTCATCACATCACTTCGAAGCCTCTTCTCATCACTTCCAAGTGATGTGATGTGGTTTTTCGAGCTCATCCGATCACTTTGAAGCCTCTTCTCATCACTTCCAAGTCCTCTTCTCATCACTTCCAAGTGATGTGATGTGGTTTTTCGAGCCCATCTCATCACTTTGAAGCCTCTTCACATCACTTCGAAGCCTCTTCTCATCACTTCCAAGTGATGTGATGTGGTTTTTCGAGCCCATCTCATCACTTTGAAGCCTCTTCTCATCACTTTGAAGCCTCTTCTCATCACTTCCAAGTCCTCTTCTCATCACTTCCAAGTGATGTGATGTGGTTTTTCGAGCCCATCTCATCACTTTGAAGCCTCTTCACATCACTTCGAAGCCTCTTCTCATCACTTCCAAGTGATGTGATGTGGTTTTTCGAGCCCATCTCATCACTTTGAAGCCTCTTCTCATCACTTCGAAGCCTCTTCTCATCACTTCCAAGTGATGTGATGTGGTTTTTCGAGCCCATCTCATCACTTTGAAGCCTCTTCTCATCACTTTGAAGCCTCTTCTCATCACTTCCAAGTCCTCTTCTCATCACTTCCAAGTGATGTGATGTGGTTTTTCGAGCCCATCTCATCACTTTGAAGCCTCTTCTCATCACTTCGAAGCCTCTTCTCATCACTTCCAAGTGATGTGATGTGGTTTTTCGAGCTCATCCGATCACTTTGAAGCCTCTTCTCATCACTTCCAAGTGATGTGATGTGGTTTTTCGAGCTCATCCGATCACTTTGAAGCCTCTTCTCATCACTTCCAAGTCCTCTTCTCATCACTTCCAAGTGATGTGATGTGGTTTTTCGAGCCCATCTCATCACTTTGAAGCCTCTTCTCATCACTTCGAAGCCTCTTCTCATCACTTCCAAGTGATGTGATGTGGTTTTCGAGCTCATCCGATCACTTTGAAGCCTCTTCTCATCACTTCCAAGTCCTCTTCTCATCACTTCCAAGTGATGTGATGTGGTTTTTCGAGCCCATCTCATCACTTTGAAGCCTCTTCTCATCACTTCCAAGTCCTCTTCTCATCACTTCCAAGTGATGTGATGTGGTTTTTCGAGCCCATCTCATCACTTTGAAGCCTCTTCTCATCACTTCGAAGCCTCTTCTCATCACTTCCAAGTGATGTGATGTGGTTTTTCGAGCCCATCTCATCACTTTGAAGCCTCTTCTCATCACTTCCAAGTCCTCTTCTCATCACTTCCAAGTGATGTGATGTGGTTTTTCGAGCCCATCTCATCACTTTGAAGCCTCTTCTCATCACTTCGAAGCCTCTTCTCATCACTTCCAAGTGATGTGATGTGGTTTTTCGAGCTCATCCGATCACTTTGAAGCCTCATCACATCACTTCGAAGCCTCTTCTCATCACTTCCAAGTGATGTGATGTGGTTTTTCGAGCCCATCTCATCACTTTGAAGCCTCTTCTCATCACTTCGAAGCCTCTTCTCATCACTTCCAAGTGATGTGATGTGGTTTTTCGAGCCCATCTCATCACTTTGAAGCCTCTTCTCATCACTTCCAAGTCCTCTTCTCATCACTTCCAAGTGATGTGATGTGGTTTTTCGAGCCCATCTCATCACTTTGAAGCCTCTTCTCATCACTTCGAAGCCTCTTCTCATCACTTCCAAGTGATGTGATGTGGTTTTTCGAGCCCATCTCATCACTTTGAAGCCTCTTCTCATCACTTCCAAGTCCTCTTCTCATCACTTCCAAGTGATGTGATGTGGTTTTTTCGAGCCCATCTCATCACTTTGAAGCCTCTTCTCATCACTTCCAAGTCCTCTTCTCATCACTTCCAAGTGATGTGATGTGGTTTTTCGAGCCCATCTCATCACTTTGAAGCCTCTTCTCATCACTTCGAAGCCTCTTCTCATCACTTCCAAGTGATGTGATGTGGTTTTTCGAGCCCATCTCATCACTTTGAAGCCTCTTCTCATCACTTCCAAGTCCTCTTCTCATCACTTCCAAGTGATGTGATGTGGTTTTTCGAGCCCATCTCATCACTTTGAAGCCTCTCCTCATCACTTCGAAGCCTCTTCTCATCACTTCCAAGTGATGTGATGTGGTTTTTCGAGCTCATCCGATCACTTTGAAGCCTCATCACATCACTTCGAAGCCTCTTCTCATCACTTCCAAGTGATGTGATGTGGTTTTTCGAGCCCATCTCATCACTTTGAAGCCTCTTCTCATCACTTCGAAGCCTCTTCTCATCACTTCCAAGTGATGTGATGTGGTTTTTCGAGCCCATCTCATCACTTTGAAGCCTCTTCTCATCACTTCCAAGTCCTCTTCTCATCACTTCCAAGTGATGTGATGTGGTTTTCGAGCCCATCTCATCACTTTGAAGCCTCTTCTCATCACTTCCAAGTCCTCTTCTCATCACTTCCAAGTGATGTGATGTGGTTTTTCGAGCTCATCCGATCACTTTGAAGCCTCATCACATCACTTCGAAGCCTCTTCTCATCACTTCCAAGTGATGTGATGTGGTTTTTCGAGCCCATCTCATCACTTTGAAGCCTCTTCTCATCACTTCCAAGTCCTCTTCTCATCACTTCCAAGTGATGTGATGTGGTTTTTCGAGCCCATCTCATCACTTTGAAGCCTCTTCTCATCACTTCCAAGTCCTCTTCTCATCACTTCCAAGTGATGTGATGTGGTTTTTCGAGCTCATCCGATCACTTTGAAGCCTCATCACATCACTTCGAAGCCTCTTCTCATCACTTCCAAG